AATAAAGAATTAATACTATTATAAATATAATTTATAATTTCCTAAAAGCCTTATCTGTCTTATTTATCTAGCTAAACTAATATAGTAGTTTTCTACTAGTTTTTAGTAAATTAGTTAATTCTTTTACTATTCTAGAATATCTATAGATAAACCTCTAGTAAAAGTTAATAAAACCTAGAAATACTTGGATTTCTCAAATATTATTCTTTAGGGCTAGCTATTCTCTAATAGCTATAATCCGGCTAGCCTCTATTTCTATATTATCTGGGCTAATTACAAATTTCAGGAACTTTATTTTTTTTATATTAAACTCGTATTTTACTAAGTTTATAAAAAGCTAGTATTATTATAATTACTTAAATATATATTAAACTACTATTATATACTATTCTAGGTCCTCTAAATAAATTAAAATATTATTCAGATAAACTATATAAATAGTATCTATAAGGCCTACTAATATATAATTAATATATATCTGAAATATTACCGAAATATTAGATAGTCTAAAAAATATAATATAGTACTTAAAATATTAATAGTATATTCGGAATACCGTTTTCTACTTATTACCTTTCTATATTTATAACTAATAGTAAGTATTCTTTAAATCTAGCTTTATATATATATTTATTCTATAAAGCCTATTTATTATCTTACTAATAAATAGTAATAGTATTCGGTTTTTAATAATAATCCTATTTAGATCCCGGTAATTAATATATAGATATAGGCCGCCTTCTTTCTTTAGAATAAATATAATTAGGATACTAGCTAGACTAGTAAAATAATAAATCTATTTCTTTTCTAAACTAGTATTAAGATATTTCTAAAGAACTTTAAGCTTTCTTTCTAATAAAGTATATATAAAACCATATAGTAATTAGGATCCTGGTTTCAGATTTATATAATATTCTATTATATAATAATTAGGTAATATACTTATAGCTTCTATAAAAAATATTCGGAAAAGATCCCGATATTTCCTAGAAAATATAGCTATCCCGTTTATAGTAATAGTAATAACTCTTTGGCTATTTATTATAAAATAAATAATTAATAGAAAAATATATATTTTATATTTTATTATTTTAGTAAACTTCCTAGTATTTAGAACTTTAATCTTCTATAATTAAATCTAGTATCTCTATATTATTTTCCTAAAGAAAATTAGGGAATTAACCTAATAAAACTATAGAAATTCAAGTATTATATTAATATAATTTAGATCGAAATCATATAATATAAAGTATATATTAGCCTCTCTTTAGTTCCCTAATATATCCTTAGTAATAACCCCAAAAATATAATCTCTATATAAATAAATCCTTTTTTTTTTAGTAAAAATAAAAGAATTACTCTTAATATTAATAGAATACCTATATTTAAGGCTAATTTCCTCTTTATATAATTGGCCTCTATATTCGAATTAACTAATACTTTAATCCTTTACCTATTTTTCCTTATCTTAATAATAACCTCAATTATTATTCTCGTTTTAGGGGCCTTACTCTTTATAATATAAATAAATATAATTACTATAGGATATACCCATTTCCCGGCTTTTTTAGTTCTAGGTATTTATATATCTTATAGCCAGACTTATTATAATTATAGTAAATCGGTTTTCTCTAATTTAGGCAGGTAATAGTATAGTAATCCTCTTTCTAGTAAGTAAAGCAAGTTATATCCGGTTTTATAGATCCCGATATAAATACTATATTAGATCCTATTACTATACTTTTACTATTCCGGTTATATAAACCTTATAACGGGAATATACTTCTTTTTTATTTCCCTTTATTATTTCTTTTTTCTTTTCTTTAATTTCCTTTCTTTTATTAACCTATTAGCTTATTATTATATTCCCGTTAAGTAAACTAATTCAAGTTATTCTCGATCCTTATAGCTATAGAAATAAACTTCTTCTTTTTTTATAAAGTATTTCCTTAGTAATTAATCTCGTCCCGAATCTCTTGCCTTAAGCTACTAAATAAATCGTCTTGCTCTTATAATAAACCCGTATATCCTAAGTTATCTAATAGGCTATCTAAATAGAATATAAAGCTTTAGATACTCTAATCTAGCTACTATTTTATATCCTTAAACTTAGTAAGAATATTATTACTATAGTTCTCCGAATTCAAAATAGAATTCTTTATAAACTTAATAAAGGTCTCCTAATCCGTAATATTAATACCTACTAATTACTTTCTATATTTCTAGATATCCCTGGCTATATTTTTAAAGCAGGAAATATAATATATAATTTTTACTATATTTATAGCCCAGATAATTCTATTATCTTTATACTATTTTAGCTTTGCCTAATAGAAGAAGTCCTAGACTTCCTTAATACTTTTCCCCTTATAAGTTAGTAATTCTCGGGTTTTTAGAGTCCTATAAACCAAATATACTACCGGTAATATAATAGATTCTATAATAAGTATTCGAATATTCTTAAGATAGTAAATCTAAATTTCCAGATCCTCTAGATCCTCTCTTTATTATATCTCTACTTCTAACTTAGTAATATAATAACGAGCCGCCGCTAGCTTCTCTATTATTATTATCCTACTAGCTAGTTCTAGGGATATCTGAGTTCCACTCTCTTTTCCTAATTAGGCAGTAACTAGAGTAGCTAACTAGGCACTTCCCTGGGTGCCCGACTGGGTTGCCCTAGTAATAATAGAGGTACTTCTTCTGGTTAATACTCTAGCTATTAGTAGTTTTATTTATTAATAGCTTGACTATTTTATAATAAACTACTTCCCAAAAGTTAGATTAATTAGAATATAAGGTATGTAATAGCAGGGTAATATATAAGTAGTTAAAGTAAGTAAGTTATAAAGTAATACTTGCAAGTATAACTAATTCCAAGAATTAATTCTAATAAGAGACTAATTAATATCTCTTCCAAAGCTAGGAGTATCTCTTTATATATTCTCTAGTATTTAGCCAGGTATATAAAGCCCTTTATTTAATTAGGAAATCCTATATAATCTATATAATTCCAATTATAAGCTATATCCAAAATAGGAAACTAGATCTATAATATCTAATACCTGTCTATATACTATTATATATATCTATTATATAAAAGTAGTAAAAAAGTCTTTAATTATATAAAGCTTTTTCTAGTTTTTATAAAATAGGAAATTCTTTATAAGATTATTTTCGTAATTCTAGTAATATTTATTTATATATTCTATTTTTTTAATAAAAATAAGAAATATTTTATATTAGCTATTTTATTTTATATAATTATTTATTAGAATTATTTTCTTTATAAGTTCTATTTATTTAGTTATATAAGTAGGTAATTTGCAAATATAAGCTATAATATTATATACTTTACTAAATAGACCTAAAAGCCTAAACTTAATTCTTTTTCTTTTATTATTACTAATTTCTTAAATCTATTTCTATTATTTATATAATTCAAGTTTCTTTATTTTAACTAATTTAAAAAATAAAAAAACTTATATTATAAAATTAATAATATAACTAATATAGCGAATTTGTATTTATTATATATTTTATTTAATATTAAACTCTTATTTCTAATATATTTAAATTACTTTATAAAGAATTCTATTAATTCTAGTATTATTACCTATAATATTCTAAGCTTTTATATAATATTATAGTTTTCTAGAACTAGAAAAAGAATTAAGAATTTTTTCTTTCTAAATAGCTATAAACTAGTTTAAAAGTAAGAAGAACCTTTTAATATTTAAACTTATATAAAATAAAATAAATATAAATAGCTAAAAAATTATTATTTTTTAGAAAAACTCAAATATTTAAAGAAATATAAATATTTAAAATTACTAATTAGAGAACTCGTTATATAATACTCTTATACCGAATCTAGAATTCTTTAACCTTAATAGAAATAGTAAAGTAAAATATAGGAAATATATCTTTATAAGCTTTATTTAAAAGCTAGTAAAGTATATAGAACTCTAGCTATTTTATTATATTATATAAGAGTAATTAAGGCTTCTATAAGAACTCTTTAATTAATTTACTATTTAAGAACTTATAAATTAAACTTTTTTATATTTTCAAGTTCTTGAATTTAATAATAAAGCTTTTGAATTTATTAAATAATTTTCTCCTGGTTCTTGAAATTAGTAGGCTTAAGAATAATAAGTAAATAATACCTTAGAATATACTTTCTGAGATTTCTTATAATAGTAGTATTATATAATAATAGGAAAGAGTTTAATTAATAATATAAATAATAAAATAAAGTTTTATTTTTATTAGGTAATATATAACGAGAATATTTCCAAATTAGGGAAGTTTTCTTTAAATAGTCCGTAGAAGATATTACTATCTTGAATAGTATAAGGGAATAGTCTGGTTTAATTAAAGAAGACATTTTGAAGATATACTTAAGGTAAATTAATTATACGGATAGATAAAAAGTAAGGAAGGGAGCTATAGTAGGGGAACTAGCGGTGGATTCGCCTATCCCTGTTATTTTCGCCCTACCCCTGCCATTTTGGAACGATTGGAACGTTCTATTACCGATATTACCTAATACCAGTCGATACCGGCCGGAACGTTCCGTGGAATGTTCCAGGGTGGAATATCGCCAAGCCTGGAAGCAGGTAAAATAACAACAACAGAAACCCTGGCGAAAAGTTTCTCTTCTCTTCCAAACACTCAAAAATATAGATTGAGGCCGATAACCTCAACCTAAATCACACTCAATCAAAGAACACGGATGATTTTTTTGATGTTATACTAAGTCAGAAGTCTTCTCGATACACGTGACGTAGCGTTCTCGCTTCTCTGACATTCGGTTGGGCACCAAAGTGGCTTGGAGCTGAAGATCTCTGCCTTTCTCACAAAAATTGCCTCACCTGAATCAAGTATCAAAGGATTAAAAAGAATTCCAGTGACAATTATCCATATACTTCACCCAGGAGATGTAAAGAGTGACAGAGAGAGTTGCTGAAATCCTGCCGTATCTTGAGCACGTTAGCATGTCGCCTGTGACCACGAGACTTCGATCCTCTTCAGATCTTTATTCCCCTCTAGAAGAGGCAATAGACGAAATTCGACTTATTGCAATTGAGGCATCGCGTCCCGACGGCCCAGTACAATGCAGGCTCCACAGGGTCTCGTTGAAAGACACTCGAGAAGAGTACTCACGCTTCATCAAGTCGGCGGGCGAGGCTGGGAAGTCAGCACGTCAGATTGTTGTCCACTGGGCTCAATCCTGTGGCGCGGAGTATAAAAATCAACCCAACAGCGTCGACCAATCGACAGCGTCCAAGCCGTCGCCTACTTCCTGCCGTTTCAACTGGGGTGACTTCGCCGCGCTTTCCTATGTCTGGGGGAACGAACTAGATCGACGAAACATCTTAGTGAATGGAATCGTGCTCTCGGTCACAGCAAACCTGGAAGTTGCCCTCCGCGCGTTAGCAGCAAATAACGAATTCCAAGGTTACTACAAGATCTGGATCGACGCCATTTGCATTAACCAAATTGATGAGGTCGAGCGCGCAAGCCAGGTCAGTAAGATGAGAGAAATATACAACGGTAGCTGGACAGTCATTTCCTGGCTTGGAAAAATGGATCGACGGGGAGATATGGGGAAAGCCTTCCGATTTCTACGTAACATGGCTTCACTAACCCTGGAGGAACAAGATCTTGCTCGAGTTATGACCCAAAGGCCGGGCTTCATTGAAGATAGCTCCTTCTTTGCACTGCACGAAATGATGACTCGACCGTATTGGTCGCGACTCTGGGTCATACAGGAAGTCATCATGGGTGCCTCATCAACCGTTCTGCGTTGTGGGGTCGATTGGCTAGACTGGAATACTTTCTGTGCAGGAATTGCGGTCCTTTACAATGGAAATAATTGGAACCTCAAGGATGTTATGCTATTTCAAGAATCTGAAAAGAGGGGACTTCATCGCGACTGTGCTTGGCATACTTTGAGCCTCCATCTTGTTCACCAAGACCTCCGCCCCCTTAGCCGATACGAGGACCAGGGAGGAGAGAGATTGGGCTTCCGCCGGCTGTTGGAAATTGCTAGCTCTACTGCTTGCCGGGACGTCTGTGATAAAGTGTTTGCTTTGATTGGGATGATGGAGCCAGGTATTGCAAACGAAGTGGTTCGGAATTACGGTTTAGGTTCCCCACGACTATTTGCAGCAGTTACGAAAGCATTCATTCTCCATTACAATAGCCTGGAGCCCCTGCGGCAGGGAAATCCATGGGGAGAGTGGGAGGCACCAACATGGGCAGCAGATTGGACTTGGCAAGGTCGTATTCGTTGGTCACGCCCCGAGTCGGACTTCGCGGGTCCACTGTGCAATTCTCTCGATCCGAATCCGAAACCCGATGCTATATACAATGCCCACGGTGGTATGCCCGCACGTTATTCGATCGTGGGCAACGATACGATATTGCAATGTGATGGTTTCGTGCTTGACGAGGTTGCTGGACTTGGTGCGCCTGAGAAGGGATATTTTGCCTGGGCTGAAGGAAGGCTGATACAATGCTTGACGTGGCGAAGCTCATATGGGGATGAGGAAGCGACAGCGAGCGCCTTGTACAAGGCTCTGCTCGGTGGCAGGATTTTAAAGGGAAGGAGGGCCAAGGACCGACATTCATCGATCTTGAGCCTCCCATCCACCTTTGCGGGTGCCGGCCCTCAGTTCAAACGCCGAGGGTGGAATTGGCTCGCGGATCAACAGGGTTATTATTTCAAATGGGAAAAATGGCGATATGCAAATGATGGTTTAATGCTCGGCACAAGGACATTGGGGAGCTACTTCACGGATGTTATCCCGGAAGGTGCCGAGGAGGTGACTTATATGGAGGTTTACTCGACTGTGTGTAGGATGGTCATGGAGCGGCGCTTTATGCTTACTACGAAGGGCCACTTTGGCTGGGCACCGGATAATGCTTATGATTATCGCGAGGTGAACCAAGCCAGGGTTGGCGACCTGATCGCTATCATCTATGGATGCAGTACGCCACTGGTCATTCGGCCGTGTGGAGGCCAATTCCAAATCGTTGGTGAGGCATACGTGGAAGGGTTTATGGATGGTGAAGCCGTGGGCCATCTGCATAGCAGTGACTTCCAGATAAAGACATTCTCCTTCTGTTGATATATAATAACCAAACGAGTACATAAGAATTCCCATGCTGCCTCTAAATCCTTTTTACCGCCAAGTCTTTAAGCTTTTAAGTTATGTAACCCCAGGGCATCCGAATAATAGGTTGAGTTGGGTCGGGTTGAGGAATGGGTTGGGAGAGAATGACAACACAAACCCTAATAATAATAAATTTCTTCAATCTTTAAACACCCAAACCCCTCCTACCCTGTAAGTTCAAAGACAACTCTCTCTCTCTCTCTTCCTTATGTGGAATGGAAAACTCGACGCTAGCCTCAAGGAAATGGCAACTGAACCCAGCCTGTACAGAAAGTGAACTCTTAGTTAATGAGCATTTGTGTTGGTTTGAGGTTCGATACCTGCGTATTGTGGTCGGGGACTGATTGATTTTTGTGAAAATACATGTTCTTGAGAATAGATGCTCCACCTGATATTATCTGAAGAGCTCTGCAGTATAGGGTGTAATACCGAACCCAATATTGTATTATTTGTATCCCACTAATCTTGAAGAGTGTCTGTTTGCCGCTAATATTACCCGACAACCTCACTCGGTGCCAGCCTCCATTTGCGAGTCTGATTCAGATAATAGTCGAGAGACAGAGGCCTCTAGCTTTTCATTAATATCCATTTACTTCTCCGGAATCAAAAGTAGCATATTGCTTTCGTTGGCATCGTAGCTTGGAAACACATTTGTGGGGTTAGAATATTCAAGTCGGTATTGTATACCCTTATTTACTCCCTCTTTCTCATGTACTTTATTACTATTTGCTTGATCTCGAATGAATTAAAGAAACAAATATAGAGACTTTGAGCAATCCTTCAAATACCTTATTCCCGAACTTTAAATGTGATTTAAAAAAAGTCTGGCGTCTAAGCTAGCAAAGTTAGATCTTGCAAAATTAAGCTTGCTAAAATGAGTAATAAAGAATATAACCTTACTTGCTGCCTCTTAGGTCTTGGGTCGGTGCTTTTTACTACTAGACCTCCTTTTTACTCAATTATTTTCTCTTATTCTTACTTTCCTTCATCTCGCTTCTTTTGTCGCTGCCTCTCTCCTTTCCGTTTATCTAGATCCCGCTTCTCTTTTCCAGTTCTTGCTTTTATTCTTGTTTCCGCTTCTTTTATTCTTGCTTCTCTTAATCTAATTTTTCTAACTCTCATAGCTTTATATAAAGCTTTTCTTGCAACTTTTCCTACTCTAGCCTTTCTTGCTCTAGCCTCTCTTACTCTAATTTCTCGAGTCTTTCTTACTTTAGCCTTTCCCGCTCTAACTTCTCTTCCTTTAAACTCTCTTATAAATTATAAATAGTAATTGAGCTTAAGTTTGCTATTACTAATTTTCGACCCGATTATAAGCCTATAATAAAGAAACTCCTTTAATTTCTAATAGTATTAAAGACTAGGCTTTATATATTAATTTGCATGTAATTCTTTTTAGCTTGCTTTAAATTATTAAATATTTTATTATCTTTCTTTCTTTTATTTCTTATATTATTACTAATATTACTTCTTTTATTTTAAGTTTTATTAGCCTTATAAAGCTTGTATTAATCTTTCACTTATTCTTTATAACTTTAATTTCTTTTATTTAAATCTTTCTTATTTAAGCCTCTATTATTATTCTTATTTAAGTTTTTCTTTTTTTAATTTTTCTTATTTCAAGTTTTCTTAGTATAGCCTTTCTTAATTAAGCCTTTCTTAGTTAAGTCTCTTTTAATCTAGCCTTTATTACCTGAATTACTTAATATTATTTATTTCTAATTTTTGAAATATTTCTAATTTAGTTTATTAAGGCTAGGATAACAGAAATAAAAAGGAATTAGAATTTTTATTTATATTAAAATCCGTTAATTTATTAAAAAAAGCCAAGTATATAAATTAATATATAAAGAATAATATAATTTTCTTGCCTTATTTCTTATTTTTATAATATATATATATATAATTCTGGTACAAATTCTTGACATCGATTTTGGTTTTGATCTCGCTTTGTTTGCAATTGCTTGATGAGTGACTTCTTTATCATTTTGCGCAATTTAGGTGAATTGAAGCTTACCAGCTTACAGTCAGTCCATTTCCAAATTCTTCCCTCTTCGCACTGCTTGCTTTCCAAACCCCGCCAGCCCTGCCTTCGCGCCTTCCAAATATTCCCCAAAAGCCGACTCCACCACCATAAAAAATCTCCAAAACGCATGCACCCTCTTGAACACAATCCCGAACATAATCGCAGCCATGGACTACAACTGGAGCCCCAAATCCTCGCGCCCTTCGAAACTCTACCGCGTCTACCGCCCCTTTCAACATACCTCCCTCTCTCATCGCGGCTTGCACGCCTCAAACACAACCCTACACCTCATCATTTCGAATCCCACGAACTTCTCGCTCTTCCTCACCTCATTAAAATCCCATCGCACCCAAGCCGCCCATCCCTCCCCGTACATCTCCTTCTTTTCTTCGCTCGCCGAAGCCGAGAGCTGGCCTTTGGCCGCCGAAGACGAATTCCTCAAGCCCGCTTTTATCCTAGAGATTGATGTGAAATGTAGAGCTATGGAAAAGGTCACGATGTGGAAGGTGAGCGATATTCAGGATAAGACGGGGGAGGAGTTGGGGTTGGGGGGGATGAGGAATAGTGAGTGGTTGGCGCTGTTTACTGTCCCTGGGGCGGTGATTAGTAGGGAGTTTAGGAGTAGTAAGGAAATTAGGATTAGTAAGTGCTCTCCCCTCTGGTGTTACCTGTGTAGATTCAAGGGAAGGAGGAAGCTAATGTGGTTGTGTGGTGGGTACAGAGAGAGGCATTCCGTTCCCGGTTTATGTCGAGAATCCAAATAAGCTTACGATACATGATCCGTTGTGGGATGAGAAGCTGTTTCAGGGTGGATGGATGAAGAATCACCCGTTGAAGTGTGGGTGTGCGAATGAGTGGAGGTGTATACATTTTCAATGGCCTGAATTGACAGGAGAAAACGGGGATTTGGGTGGAAAAGGGACTCGAGGCTTGGTGGGAGATCAAGCTTCTGGCGAACCGAACCGAGTCAGTTTGGACAGCGGGGTGGACATGGAAGGTGTTCAAGCTTCCGGAAACAATTCGATAGTTGCGGAACCGAAGCGTGGTACTGCTGACAATCCTGTTCAGGTGCTGTAATGAGGTTTTCTCCTTGGGTAGTCTTTGTGCTTTGGGAGGTTGTTTCAGGAAAGCAGCTAGGGGTCCAGTGCATTCTTCAGAATAGACAATTCTATGCCTTTCTGTCGTGCAGTTTCTCCTTCGGTCTTCCCATGCTCGCTCTTCTAGGCGGTGCTGGATCTTGCAAATTGTATATCGTTCCCTACCTCGGATTTGCCGCTTCGCCTTTGTGAACATATGAATTCACCCTTTCAAGCATCAAATTTATGGCACTGGGATACCAGTACCCTTCATCTTCCATCCTCCCAAGCTTTCGAGATCCCCAACATCATCGTCAGATCAACACAAGACACCGTGAACTCGTTTCTTCAAGTCAGCTACTTGTAAGTGTCATGCGAGTACCAAATTGTAGCACAATCTAACTCAACAGCACTTGCAGAACGATCATCAAGATGACCACCTCCTCGGGTCTCAACGCCTACGACGCAATGCGTGATACCATTCTCATCGGCGTCAACCTGAGGAACTTCCGCAATGGCGCTTTCTCCAACCTGATTACCAAGGACACTCCTGTCGTCGACGCCATGAATATCTTGATTGCGTCCTCGTGCCTGTCTTCTTCCGAGAAGGAGATCGTCAGATCCTGCCGTGACGAGTTCATCGCCTTTCGCAATCGTTTCCCGGGAGATCAGACGCCGGGTATATTTGATGCCATCAAACTTATGGGTTCGACTGAAAAGATGACGAAGATGTTCGACGATGATGCCACGGCTCGAGGCCTTTATGTTCCTCCGTTCATGACACAGGTCATAAACAAGGATGGCAGCGTCAAGCAGAGCATAGTTATGAATGATGATGGCACCGGTACTGTCACAGAAGGTGGTATTCATGGTGTGCCGCCTGGTGCTCCTGACGGGTTTGCTGCCCTGCAGAAGGAGAACACGAAGTTATTCACGGACGGTGCGAAGAGATCGGCTGCCAAATGTAAGTATTTATCTTCCGGGGCTATGAGGGAGTTCAGCCAACTAACATACATTGCAGCATCCCCGAAGGAGGCCGAGAACAAGGAGTCCAGCAAGAAGGATGGCAAGGTCGACTTTGGCCAGGCATTCAGCAAGAACGTAAGAGGTGCTTTCATGTGAGTACTGTTCAAGGGCTCTGGACATGCTTCTAAGGAAGAAAAGAATGCTGGGCAAGATTTGTCACTTGGATGCAGTGTGTCAAATGATTTAGTTTCATTTGATTATAGCCTCTGAATCAAATCAAATCAAGTCAAAATCTACTTAATCAAATCATAATCAACTATAACTAAGTATAATTGATTATAGTTAATCATTTAGTTACGTTTTGGCGAAATATGTCTTCGGGGAAGAAACATCATGTCCGGGTATACCAACAAGCCTGCAACAAATACAGAAGCATTCGTGGACGTATTCTTCAGAACTGGTGATCTTGGGGTCATTCAGGAAGGTGGATACTTGCAGTTGACCGGTCAAATTAAAGATGTCATCAACAAAGGAGGGGAGAAGACAAGTCCCTCGGAAGTTGAGAACATCGTACTATACAATCTCACGAGTTGGTCCGACAAGCGGTATGCCTCAAGGTTCTAAATGAGATCTACGGTGAAGACATCGGTAAGCGTATAATTGTCTTTTGAGTCCTTGATGGCTGACAGATCTCGCTGAAGGAGTGGCGTGGTTCTCGAACCGGCGAAAGAATTTACCGGTACTGCCTTGAAAAGATTCGCCCGTCAACACGCTGCAGCGTTCAAAGTCCCTAGGAAAGTGGGTTTTGAATCCTTCGTCCGGGCGCGCTATGCGTGGCCGTTTGCGTCCTTATACTCCAAGGAGGACTCAGATGCCCACGCATAAGCAGACCCGATAAGGTTCCAGCTTGCATAAGGCTTGACTATGTTAGGTTGTCTGCTTAGAAAATATTCCGACGAATGCAACGGGAAAGCCGTGAAGAGCGTTTTTGTCTGAAAGTTATTCTGGTTGATAACACAAGGAGGTCGAAAGGAGTATGTAATGATAAGAAGTTCAAGAAATAAAGCCGATATAGCAAATCTCTCGTCAAGTTCATTGAGAGGAGTTGACCAGCTGTCCACTGAAGAACATGACCATGGCACAGGGATTATGTGGATAATGGGCAAAGCATCAATGAAGCATCTCGGATTTTGAACCACTGACACTGATATTAAAACAAATCCACTTCTCCAGCTTTTGCTGGAAGAAGGTTGAGAGTTCTCGGCCCATTGCAACTCGTATTTGAAGTACGATAAAAGAAAAGAAGAAAAAAGGAATAGCAAATTCACCTAAACAGAACACAGGAAAGGTATATACAACAGAGGACCTCGTTAGTCCGATGTGCGTTTCGAGCAGAACACCATGAAAAATGTAGCATATCAACTCTTCTGCGTTTAAATCTAAGTGCCCTTGGGTAATATGAAGCAATTTCAAAGTAGGTATTGTGAGCACAACGCCTCGTACGAAGATCCACATCATACAAGGCGTCGACTACGTCGCAAATTCTATTTTAGGTTCGTTTGGAAGCTACCGTTCCTCCTGTTCTCACTACTCAAAATTGAGCCAAGCCAATCGCCAACACAGCAACTTGAATAGCGAGTCCAACTCGGAGCATGCTCTTCGAAGAAACTGCTCCAGACGTACCAGTGGCCGATGGGACAGCTGATGTGGATGATCGACTTACGGTAGATGAAGGCTTACTGGACATTATTGAAGAAGTTGACTGGAGGACATGGGAAGAAGAAAGAAGGGAGCCCGAAGTTGTAGGAAAGGTCGTCTGGGGAAAGAACAAGCCCGAGGTTGAAACCTAGAAATTCGCGACAGCTGTTAACATACATACCAGGACATTGAACTTGAAGGATTTCTGGCTGATGAGATGAGTTCCAGCATACCGGAACAGCCACATTAGTCGGCGGTGGACCAATCAGAAGGGTAAGACCGCATTCTCCACTCTGCAGGCCTATCTGACTCCCCAAGCAACAGAAGTAGTTGAAGCTAGTGGAAGTGGCCTTAGTTGCATTCCAGAGTGACCAACTCGGGTCTGCGCAGACATGAGGTCCTATTTCCAAGAATCCTACACAATCGTCTTCTATGAGGCAGCAAGTATACGTTAGCATTTGATTCCAAGCCTTCGGTGAGCCTGCTAGGCCTATAAGTTGTTATAAATCTTTAACTGATGTCATTCAAGTGATCATCAAGTCTTTGAAAGTTCGTTCTACTTTGGAACAAGGGAGACTGAGGAGAAAATAGATCCCAGCCACGCACCTCCTGGGCAACACGCTTCCGCAATTGCATCCCCTGAATTCATACAGTTTAGGGAATTGGGGCAGCAGAATGCTCCCATATCACATTTTTTGGTACCGACTGGGCAATTCGGCGCTGATAAGGACCAACCTGCCGAGGTATCCATTGTGGGCGTCGGGCGTAACGGGGTAGAAAGTGTTGGATTCCAACTTGATGCGGGAGATAATGGGAGGTATTAACGATGCGTCATGAAGTGGCTCTGTGAGTGCACTAGACTTCGTGTTTTTCGCGGTTCCTTCGTCCGAATCAGGCTTCTCCTATGGCTGAGCGGGAAGCGGGGTTAATGAGTGCTCTCGACGACTCGATCAAATTCAACTCACCAACGGAGGCTTTGCCTATCATGTACGAATGAAATAGATGAGATGCAGCGCTTTCAAGCCTCACACCCTTACAGATCCGGCAGATTTGAGGTTGAGAGAAGATCAGGTGTCGTCAAATGTTCAGCTTCCTCTTTTAAGAAATATGCAAGTCCTCGGTTATCCTCACCGTTGAGCCAATCCTTCCTCGAATTCACTGCAGATCCTACAACCCCATTTCAGGCGAATCACAGTGAGTGCGTGACATGGCAAATCAAAAGGCCGCTAATAGCCGGCCCGCATCTTCGAAGCCAGCAGTACTGCCGTGGACAGAAAAGCGGTCTGAGATTCTCAAGGTCCGTTGACTAAGCTATCCCACATGCTTTCTCTCCGTGTGTTCCTTCGATTTATGTAGGTTCAAAGTTTATAGATTCAAAAGGAGTGTGCCCCCTGCAAATCCCTGTTGAGCTCGCGTACACTCGCGTAGCATTCCCAAACCAGGACCATTCGCCCAAAGTAGTAATTTTGTACACCACTTGGGGTCAGTCTATTTTATATATATGCTAGCACCTTCCGGGGCAGCCCCGGAGGGGTGCCTATGCAATTGACTCCCTTCTAACCCCCTTCCCCCTCTCTTAAGAAGACCAGTTTTAATAAATTTGCTTTGAAATATGGCTTTCTTTTTCGACTATGGTTTAGCCCCTAGCGCGCATATAAGACGGGCAAGAAGCACGCCCCTCCCTTGCACTTACCATCACTTAAGAAGTATATCCTCACTTGCGCGATCCCTGCGATATAGATCAGGAGGCCGCGCTGAAGTCGCGGGACTGGGTGCCCCTGAGCTATAAGTAAAGTACAGTACGCAGTATTTGGTAGGGACAAGCTTCGGAGCTCCCCCTCAAGCGCACTCTATAATTGCTCCTATTATTTATGAAGTTTTGCAATATTTAAAAATCGAATCCACCTGATGTTGAGCTTGAGTGTGGACATGGATACTTTTTCCGTCTACTAGAGCGCAATTCTCGAGCCTTACGTCAAGTTTTTGTTTCTCTGGCAGCTTTCTTCGCAATACACTACAACACGAGCAGTGAAGACTCAACTCTGCCATACCATAAGTGTGGAGTACCGTGACCACAAAATAATGATTTAATGACAGACGAATAAAGTAGTAAAACTGTGGCAATAGAAGGGGCGATTACAATTTATTCAATGCAGGGTATATAACGCTCCGCTCCAAGAGTCTTGGATATATTATCCACTTGCCCTTTTATCGTTCTAAATATCAAATTAAAGGGACTGAAGTGGTCGGTGTGCTAAATATAGATTTGAGGAGCTACCTAGTGAGTGTACAGAGCACTGAAAAGTGCAACTAACAGGCATAAATGACTACACAAGTGTGTAAGGAAAGCATGCAAAACAGAGCTGCAAGTCCACAACGGCAGACAGCTCCAGAACGTGACAAGGATTCAAAGGGACAAGAACCCCTTGAGTTCCATTGGTGCCTCTACCTATCTCCCCCATGAAAAAAAAAGGCATCATCGGCCTTCATCTGGTTCATCAACGCTTCAACAAACTTATCCAGCCACTTTCCCACCAGCACCGGGCCCACCAAGATACACATAACTACCCCAATTTGTCCCACTCGACACCACATTCCGATGATCCCACTTCTTCGAATCCGAATCCCAGAACCCTGCAGTGTAATCATGCGTTCCTGTCGAATCAAAATAAACCATGTTGTGAATATACGCCGAACGACCAAAACCCTTTTCCGCAAACTCTCCGGATCCCATATCCGTAGTAGTTACAGGACCTTCAGACTGATAGATTTCTCCATAGTAGTAGATGCTGTCTGATCCGGTTGCCAAAGTGACACCAGAAGTGTGCGCGCTGAAAAGAGAGGCTGGGTAGTACCCGATCCACCGGTCGCGAACCCAGAGCCACCAGTTGCCTTGGTACAAAAGGTATTGGATTTGGATTTCGTACTGAGCGCCCGTGTTTCCGTCGACGTTATTGGGGGAGAAAACAGTGCCGGGAAAGATCAAGGTGTCGTATTGGACCCAACCTGAAACGTCACGGTTCCATCCGCCAACCCCATTTCCTTGTGATTTGTAGCCGTTTGTCGTATAATAGGTGAAAAGATGAGGGGCGGACACTTGATTCGGGTAGTTAATCCACCCTGCTTCTAGGGTCTGGATACCGTTGGAACTGGAGTGCGTGACTGCAGTCTGGAGGAGGGAGAAGTCGGCTTTGTTGTTGACAAATGCCTTGAAAATACTAAAGGCAGCGGATCCACCAATGTTGGCCACGTACTGGGTAGAACTGACATACCAGTGGGTGCCGCTGTACTGTCTCTTGGATTTAGAATTCGGAGATCGTTTCCCGTCTGGAAGTCGTTTCGTGGGTACGTTGTTCAAATAGGCGGGGTCGACTCTTGGGATAGGTACAGTTCCCGCAGGACCATGCTTAGCGTCTGGCTTTTGGAGCTCTGGTTCGGCAGTTGAGACATTGCCGCCATATACGGTCAGAGGTGCTGGTGGTTTTGCAATCGGTCCTTGAGAGTCGATAGGTACCCAATCAATCGTGTGGTGGTCTGTAGTTGTCGTCTGTGAGACCGGCAAAAGTGCCCTCGCGCTCAAGGAATCTTTGGCATACTGATTCAGGGGAGAAGCAACGGGAGTTGCAAACGTTTGAAGAACAAAGGTAGAGAGGATGGAAGCTAGAAAAAGCTTCGTAGAGGGAACTGGAGACATCGTATCAAGACCGAGCTGGTGATGATTGACTGGGGATTGAATTCAACTATTGCTCTAGGTGACGGGTTCTTATAGACTATCTGCCATAACCAGCTATGCAGCCCATCGGCGTTTTCTTGATCATGAGGTCGAAATAAAAGATCTTTCGTCGGACAAGATTCTCACTGCTCCTCTACGCAAATAAACCTGCATGAATGGAATTGGGGAGGAAAAGGTCGGAGGATTTCATGTCTAACAATCGGTCACTTGCAATGCCACTTTGGTGACCTCGCCTCGCAGACACGGACGGAGAAATGCGCTGAAGGAATCTCGGAGATAGCGTCTCTTGGCAGACTGTCACGGTTAGCGCTGGATAGGTTGTATTCTTCGTGATTGGAATAACGGTGAGCCTCGCTGAGACAATTGGTCCGAGAAGAGGCTACTTCCAATATAAGGCGTTGATGTCTTCGATGTGGCGGATGACACAGCCTCCACATTTGATTGAGTTTCTAAAAAACGCCAAAACTGCAGCGCAAAAGCTCTTAATCGGGAATTGCCACAATCGCTAACGATGTCAAACCGTACCCTATCGTCTAGTGTGGTAGAAACACACGAAGCGGAGTAACTCCGTCGAGCTCATGCTCAATGATTGTCGAATATTTCCCGCGCTGAGTACAAAGTTTGTTCCCTAAGATTAGTAGCAGGGGCAACCCTAACCGCTTCTGACCCTAAATACCAACCGTAACTGGGGAAACGGTTTCGTCCGAGAAGATCAAACCTCCTGATAAATTACCCTTTGCCAGTGTGAAAGCTCTTTGGGAGAAGATTTTGCAGCGGGCGAAGGGGTAGATGGTAGCCAGGTTCCATCCTTCAGATACGCCAGCTTTCCCGATTCTCTCGCGCCAAGCTCCTCTAAGCGCCGGGCTTGGAGCTGAATGCCCAAAACGACATTAGGCTTTCACGAGTCGTTTGTTGAATCGACACGTAGCTCGTGACTTAGAAAGAATGGGTGGTTCCGTACGCCATATTCTCTAGACCCTGTTCAACCATGCCATGGCTGCTCCTGCCACCATGACCACGACACGAACTCAGCCCTCACAGGCCAGCACTTCTAATAATAACCAACACTTTAACAAACAAATTATTACTGCAGAAGAACTACGGAAGCGTTCCAAGCCTTGGGCGTGCTCGAGCTGGCTTTGGCAACCACCAAAATACTTTAAGCACATCATCTTGAGAGCTCCACTAGCGCCAAAGTCGAAATCTTGCTCATGGTTGAAAGCCTAGTTTTGGAATAGGTCGAAAAGCTAGTGTATGCTTAATATATGGCGAGAGCAATTTCGGTTAATCTTGAGCTATCTGAAACGCACCAAGTTTCTTATTAAAACTTTGGAGAACATGAGCAAGACCATGCATGTACTTTGTAGAAAGCTGTTCCTGTGGGCGTCTTCGGGCACTCAAGAATTTCTTCAATCACTAAACATGTGTGTATTTTTCACAGTGGAAATCAATTTCACGTACTGTAAAGGCTTAAATTTATTTCACGATCAGGGAATTTAACATATTTCAGTCATCTCTCTCATTCGGAGTAAGATTACAGCAGCACACAACCCTGCTCCCACTACCTGCCACCTTGCTCGTACCCATCACGACCATCTATTCGAGATACTTCTCCAGTCTTCAAATCAATTTTCATGCGGATTAATAGCCATTGCCTCCTGTGCCGCTTCCTTCTTCCAGGATCCTTACCAGCCAAGGAGAAGCCTCGAATCGGAGCGAAAGCAACCCACACCACGAACACCAACGAACTTGGGGGAAGACGGCCTTTTTAAGCTTTCCGTACCCAAATTTGAGCTCGCAGCTAAATAGGGAAAGTGACGCCATTCCCTTCTCATTCAAAGTTGTGGGGATCTCACCCTTCAAGCAGAAGTTAAACATTAGCCGGGCTCGGTGCCAATGTTGCAGCAGCACCCCATTCAATTTTATCTAATTTAGTAAGAAGAAGCAGCGCTTGAACCAGCGGTGCGGTATTTTTCCTTCCTAGTTTTCAAGTCAACTGCTTCAAATACAGGATAAAGGGCAGACGTCAAACAATAGCGCCACAGATCCCCTCCACCATCCATATTGATGTCAATGGATAAATATTATTTGCAATTCAGTGATCAATGCCATATTCGCTTCCATTCTGCTGGTCCTTTGGAAGAATCCTCATCATTCTCGAAATTTGCGAGTTAGAGCCGCGCCTTGCTATCCGGGGGCGTTGTAAGGCCGGAAGATAGTGAAAAGATTCTCGGAACTTGATTATTCTAATTGTGTTGAATTGGTACTAGCTTACTAGTCCTTCCAGTGCCAGGTTCAGCTACTAATATTAGCTTCGCCACTCTCATTTATAATGGTTTACTATGGAAGCCTATGGAATAGCTCACTATGGAAGCTCAGGGAACGCTCACCAATATATATGAGTCATCTGATTTATAATATACTGGAGGAAATCGCCACCCACTAGTGGGTATATAAGAACTGTACTTTAGATTCCCTCCTCTCCTTTTTTACTCTTCACTCTCCTGTATCTAGTCATTCTACAGATTGTCAAACTCCAATATATCGATTTTCCATCAATAAATCGATCACTTTCCTATAAATTGCCCAAGCGGCGTGCACTTGTTCATCCCCAAGAACTGTTTTATCTTTAAATAATATTCTACGGAAAACCTCGACAATCCGGGGGAATGGCTATACATAACTACGAGGATCACGGCATAAAATGATGGGAATACAGGGCATTCGGCCTCGGCCGCCCGTATTATAGCGTGTGGTGATAGGGGCCGTTCCGCATAAGGCTATATTTACAGGCGGCGTGCCCTCTAAACCCACTTTGAGATATTCGTAGGGTCATGGGCGATCCTCAGAGTTGTTGGTGCTGCTGGCTAAGCAACTATAGCACTTGGACGCTATACGAAGGAAAGTGTAACTACGGTAGGGGCTTATTAGCGAGTAATCTCCTGTAACTATAGGGGACAAGCTCTCAAAGGCGTGGCACCTCTTGTCTAGGATTAGAGCGTGCTATTCTGGGCAATAGCCTACGATTACGGGGCTTTATAGTGAGATGGGCATCCTGAGAAAGGTGCTGAAGTGGGGTTTCATTGGAAATGACCCGTATCCCCGCCAATTTATGCCGCGAATTACGTACGGAAGATGAACTTTGCAGCTGCTTAGGCCCACAATGTTGGTGTTTGTAAGCTTACTCAACCTGCATACATAAAGGCAGCTTGCTCCCTCAGCTGCAGGTTGATGTGTCATCGCCACCATCAAGAAACTTCTTCCAAACATCTATCACTGCAGTTATTAAACTAATTACTGAAGTTCAGAGTAACCATCAAGATGAAGTCAATTCTCATGCTCCTTGCCTCGACAAGTATTGCTCTTGCAGCGCAACTATCTAATCTTCCGATGGACAGTCATTGAGCGTGGGAGGCAAGTTTCAAACCAGAGATGAACAACTTTGGATACAGGACGTCGAGGCGGACGGCACTGTCTACATCTGTCGTATAAACCTTTCCAATCTCTTGCCATTACATAAACTGTTCTTGCCTCGCATTAGATGGTGGTCCCGAAGTCGTATCGTTGGACCCCTGGGAGGATTTTGACAATGTAGACTGTGATCTTGCTACTGAGCCGCAACTCTCAGACCCTACCAATAATCCAGCATACGGCTTCATTCACGTTAAGTTGGTACGACGACGCATTTCGATCCTTATACGGGGACAGGAGTATACCCTAGCATAGGAGTGATAAGGTTCTGTGTAGGGCCGTGTCCTTGTATCCCAGACGATGTCTGGAGGGTGGTCTCTTGTGGCCCTACATAGAAGTTGAGTGCATTATGGAGTTAAAAAAGAAGAGCATCCTTAGCTAATAGTTAGTAATTCAATCAATGATATTGCACATAAGTGACTACAGCCCAAGATATTTCCCTGCTGTTTCCTCCCGTCTGGCCCAAACTTAAGTGCAATATGTTTATAGTGTGCATCTAGACTTCTTGATTTTTATATTCTCTTTCTACGTCCCGCATAAATCATTTCCTCTCAGCTTTTAGAACGTCATGTAGCATTTCGTCCGGTTAAGTGTTCAAGCGGGGGCATTCGCACACTGAGACGGGTATCCTTCTCCTCCATGGCGTGGTGAGGGCATAAGCTCTAATTCAAGTACTGTACCATATCCAAAGCTACAAATATCCAAGCACCACACCGGAAGATCTTCGAAGAATTGTCAACTCGACAATGATTGGCAATGTAGAAGAAGTGAGCGTGAATGGAAGCTGAAGTCGTCGTCTGCATGTGTGGGTCACAACTCCTTACTGGGAATTCAAGACCATTCAATTCCGTCACTAGAGACCCGCGATTTCTCCTCTTTCGAATATATAAAAGCAGTCTTCGGTCAAAATCTTTTTGTGCATACAGAGTAATTGTAGGGTTGTGCTGGTACATTCTCATAAAGAAATTCTGGCGGAGAGATGCTTTGCACGTGACCTACACTATTGTTACTTTTCGACTTCCTGAGGCACAGGCAGAGACTATTAAACTAAACGTACCTGTGCATATGAAAGAAAAGTTGTCTTCTTTCCCTTGGAATAATGCTACATATGATTCCAGAAGACCAAATTTGGAAGTGGACGAAATTAGTCTCCTCTTTGAAAGTTTCCGCTTCCATCACTTTCGCAAAACTAACATCCACGACAGGATTCTAGGCCAAAGCTTTCCTGATATTAATAGAGCTTACTGTGCAGTATCGTACGATTCTGTGGTGCAGGCTAAACATTTATATTTAGTTCGACGAAGCAAGCTACCTACACCTTAGCCTAAACCGGTTATTCCGAACACGAGCCTGGACAGCCTCAAACTTTACGTTCTCATCTTCCAGTACAGATTTGGAGTTTTCAAAAGGTGTCTGATTCAACACGAGATATTCAAATTCGAATAAACTTTAATATTTTTAAGCTAGAAATGAGGCTGTGCCGGGCCCGGCGGAAGCTCTTCTGCCCCTCCTGCAGGGAATGTAGGAAGTTCAATCAATCTAAATGATGTAAGGCCGAGAAAAGCCCCTATCTTGTCAGGAATCAATATCTAATTCTTTGCAATTGGGCTACTTTCAACCCCGGAGTAGTCATTCCGTGCGGAGATCGAATACAACTGCGGCTAATCGACACATCGAACTCTATTTTGCTTTGTGGAAACCGCATTCAGCTATGTGAACGCAACCGCAGATCTAGTTCCCAAAAAGTTCATTCTGTATCTGTGTACCTAGAACAGACATGGAACAGAACAAATCGGTCGGCATGATCTGCCATGATCTCGTAGAATCATTCAAGGATGAGGAACAGAATTCCAAAACTATAAGACTGAGCTTTCGTTCGCTTGAAATGGGACTCTTCTGTACTTTTCACATAAAAAAAGCATCTGACCTTCACTTACTACTGTCAAAATGACCGGACAATCCACCTCCTTGTTAATTGCATTGGTTTTAGCAACAGGCATCCTGGCAGCTCCAAAATCCTACCCCAAAGTAATCCCCGGCCCCGGTCTCCCCTCTCTCGCCTCTCTGAACCTCACATCCGCGGACCTCTATGAACTGGACTACCATACCATTCTCTCAGACATCACTTCCCGAGAGGAAAGTGCCCCATTAGTACCGCGTTTCAACCTCAATTGCGACGGGCAGAAATGCCAAGCTACCGATGCTGTTGCATGTATCAACTATCTCGCCATGTTGGGGAGCGAGACGTGTAATATGAATTTTGACAATAACTTGCATCAAGCTCTGCTGTGCAGTAAGCATTCTCTGAAGAAGCCAAATTCTCGTCTCAAGCTGTGTCTCGAGTATATCTCCGAGGTCATACGATCGGACATGGGCTGACTCGCAATCTCTCCGTAGCGTCGGCAAGTGCGAGAATTATTGCCCATCAAATTCAACCAAACCAGCTTTCTTCCTGGTAAGACGAGCCGCCCTCTTCTCCACTCGTTCCATCTGCTTAGCACACTTGACTAACATGCTATTTCTCCTTCTCGCAGTCAAGATGTTGCACGAGGAGGAGGACAGATCATGGACCGCTGCACCAACTTTGGTCTGGTTTCTGGTTTGTGAACCCAGACCTCCCACCCGAATATCTTGCTAATTGGAACCAAAAGGACAAGGCCCAGCGTGGGGAAACGGCGGCTACATCGTTGATATTGCTCTCGCTGGTACCAACTAAAGATGGTCCAAAAGCTGCGGCTTTCTTTGTCGGTACTGTTTATTACAACAGAATTAGGTTTCTGTTGAAAGAAAGAGAAAATATTAGAGACCCCAGGGAAGCAAACAGAACCTGTACACATTTGAACAAAGCGCAATGCAAAGTACTTCACTCATGCAATTTTCGAGTTCCGGCTAGTACCTGAATATTAAGTACTGACCTAATCGAATGTCGAATGTTGAAAAGGTATTGACATAAGTCCACGGAACGGAGGCGACTTTGTTCACACGTGACTTGTCACGTGTCAGAGCGTGAAAAGGGGGCGAGTTGACACTCGACAAATATTGTAAATTGCGTAAATTGGCATGTTAACCACGTGCATAAGAGAAACGCGAATTAGTTCACCTGCATAGTCACTCTGCTCCGTTCTCTTCCAAGGCCACGTGGGCTGATTCCTCTGTTTGCATTCCACATTCCGCAACGGGCTAAGGAGATTCCATCGGAGGACCCGACCATTCGAAATTGGCGAGCGTTCAAGAAGTCTGAATTGCAGTTCTGCTAAGCATCGAGAGCAATCTCGAAGCATTGTCGAGGAGTCAAGGTTTTATCATTGTATACGCGACGGTGAATCTGGACCAGATTCGCTCCTCTCATATTATTGTAACTGCAAACGAACCTCTGAAAAGCACTGCTTTTCGCTCCATCTTCACGCTCGCCAATTCTACTTGCTCCTCGGTCTCAAGGTCTCTTCGAGAATGGTTTCCGATATGAGTGAAAACGTAAGACACGTACCTCGGCCTGTAAAATACTGTTTACTGACGCAATTGAAGGACGCAATCAAACCTCTAGACACCACCTCTGAGATAGAAACGACGACCACCCCAAGTGTCGCCACTCCGGACGATAGCAGCACTCTGGCGCGATTCCCTGCAGATTCAACGCCTCCCCCTCTTCTAGCACCCCCTTCTCCTCTCCCAGCGTCGACTCCCACCGAACCCAAAGCCATGGCCGTCGCCAAATCAAAGCAGCAAACGCCCCAGAAGCCCATCAAACAGAAGGGCCGCCACTCCAGGAGCCAATCTCCCTCTCGCCCTAACCAAAAAGCCAAACAGCGATCTGAACATGTCTCAACCCCTACAGAATCGAAGAAACGCTTGTCCGGCCACAAAAACCTCCCAAACGTGATTGTCCTCCCAACCCGAAAGCGATGTGGCGACCACCTTCCCTCCTCTTCTCCAGCAACCAAGCGCCGAGAGTTCAGAGAATATACTCAGACCCATGCTCCAAGACCACGCAACGACCATTGGTCTCCTCCCTCTTCCCGCGCCTCATCTCCAGCCCGCTCTGATGCACGTGTGGTTCCAATCTCGGCAGCTAGTTGGTACTCTAACCTGAAGGCCACATGTACAACACCCTCACCAGAAATACCTCGACCCCGAGTGGCTAAACCATCTTCAACTACCTCTGGTGGCAAGAAATATCCAAGTTTGACGTCTGTTGCGGTTGAGAAGGTTGTGGATGAGGAAGAGGAAAGCAAGATTTGCTATAATTGTGGGAAGAAGGGACATTGGTTTATGAATTGCACTTCAGGGTGTGGCAGATGTAACGGGGATGGACATAGGACGATTGATTGTGTGGTCGTGAAGCCGTATGTTCGTTTAAAGAAGAATCTGGTTGGCAAGACAGGTCAAGTGGGAGCCTAAGAATACATCCATATCTTAGGAGATACAATGGATAGCGAGGTCTCAAGGGACAAATCGATCTTCTGGTTATTAGGCCAAGGAAGAGTGCAAAAGGTAGTGGCACTGTTCTTATTATTTGGACTAAGAAAAGGGAGACTGTATCCAGCATAGATGGATGCTTCTTCGAGGATATCAATTTGACCTCCAAAATTTTGTCTCGGAAACATCTAAAGATTATTATTTTTCCAAGCGATCACAGTTTTTTCCTGCCATGGATACTTGCAACTCATCGTTTCAGACGCTAACCCTAAATCTGTATTATATCACGGTATTTATTAATGGCGAAAGGGAGAGAAGCACTGGCATGGTAAGAGATAAATATACGCGGCTAAGAATCAGTGATGCCGAGGTGCCTGTAAAACACGGCCAGGTACCTCCATAGAGGTGTTGAATGGAAATGAACTTCCAGTAAGATTTTAAAGGACAGTGCAGGAACTTCCCTTGGTTTAATAGGCTACTGGACAACTTTTTTCTTTGCGATGCTTTACAAAATGACCGGATATCTTTGACAAGCGTCTCCAAGGTCCGCCAAGCATTGTAGACCACTCAACCACTGTTCATCGTCGGGCAAAGCGGTGCAATTGGCTCCTCGACTAAAAGAGGTACCCATCCCACCATCCATACGGCAGCCTTAATTCAGTAACTTCTCCTTTCCATTCCCTCAAGCTCTTCCTCCCTCCATATTTCGCCATCATTCTTCCGGTTGCTCGCCCTTGAACCACAAAACAAGTATCCCCTGTGAAACTCCCCACAAGCCGTGCAACGATCCGGGCAATGCATCCATCGATGGCCAATCCGATCGCAGTTATCGCAGCACAGTAGATGGCGGATTATTGGTCGAGCATCATTTGGATTTCCGCGCTTGGAGAAGAATTCATCGTCAGCAGAAGAGCCGTATAATTCGTATTCTTCTTTGAGAGTGAGGACTCGCGTGTAGGCAGAGATCGGGTATGGAGGTTCTTCGACGGACTGCTTGGGATCGGGTACTGGCTCAGTGACTAATGGGTCTTCGGCAGGGGGATCATGGTTCTTATCGGATTCGAGGCAAAGGTTGGTGTCAGGGAGGGCAATGTTCCGGTCAAGTGCGGGGGAGTAGCTGATTTCTGGGGGGGCATTGTCCTTGTCAGTTGAGGGGTGTTCGTATCCATTGATGTCAAGCGAGATGTCGAGTGCGCTCTTAGAATTTGATGCTTTTGACGACAATCTGTCTGTTTCTTCTTCGACAACGTCGTGGCTTGCGTTACCAAGATTTTGTTCATTGGCCATGACAGTATCGATGTTGGCATCCTCCGGAGAATCCATCGTTGAAGAAGACATACTCTCCGCACTATTCGCCTGGTGGTCGCTACATTGTCTAGCCGGCACGACAAGTTCTTCCTCTAGTATTGATTTGTCATTTAGTGGTCAGATCGAACGGACAGGAAGATAAATACTGCTCTCTTGGGGTGGAGTGTCCTCGGGAGAAGCAACCTTCGCCCTGGTGAAGTAGCCTCTCAAAGTGGCGGAGAATCTGTCCATGTCTCAATAACAGAAGATAAGAGCAGCGAATAAGTTGCCTTGTGGTGGGATGAAATCAAGCCATAAGCTGGCTAAGTTGTAATTTGCGGTCACGTCAGGGGTAGAATTTCAAGGCTCCGTTCTCCGTAATATCGACCGATAGTCGGGCATACCACGTGATAGATAGGAGATTGCGCTGCTGGCCTCGCGATAAATCTGCTTGAAAATAGGGTGGTGAATTTGATGTACTTATCTTTCAGGTACAGCACAATCTAGCTCCTGGAGTCTCATACCTCTTCCCACTGTCCAGCATCCTGCCGGGCAATCCTAAGTCAGAAATTTTCTCATTGTTCAATTTTTCCGATGTCAATGCAGCCCACCCTCCCCCCATGACATGTAGCATTTTGTGATACAAATTTGCACTTAGATATTTATATCTGGCCCTGGGTGGACAAGGTCAGAGTTTTGCCCTCGGTAGCTTAAATTAGATCGCTGGCGAGTTCTGGAACACCTTGGCGCCACACACTTCGATCTTCAAAAGCAAACTCCCATTCCATTACGTTTCTCAAGTCCACGATTACCAAGCCTGTGCTCATTATTATAGATTTGATTCTCTCTTATTCCATGCAGTTTCTGTCTTTGTTTACTTTCCCCCCTTTTTTTGTTGATCCAGCCTCGATAAGCGGGAACTTGGCAGTCTTGTCTGGAACAAAGTATTCTAAAGCTCTGAAACGGTTTCAAGTAGAGATATACAGCTAGAATCATTCAGATTTTCGCTGATGCTGGAGCTCTTGCATAAAGTGTGACGAGAGTTGTGTTAGGCTTCAACTTGTACTTTTGAACGCCTTCAGCCGCCACCAAGTCAGAGTTCCAAGGCATCGTCAAGGTCCATTTTAATGAGCAACTCTTCCATTTACAGCGTCATGATTTGCTCAAAACTCCCGATTTTCCACGCTGAAGGAACGGGCTGCAGCAAACTGCATCACTGCGAAACAATTCGACGAAGTTTACAATGTTGTTACGAAACGGCAATCATGCAACTCTGAGGTACTAGTGAAGATGCACAGAACTACATGGCAGTGTTGTGGAGTTGCAGTGTGTTGCGTAAGTCGATTCCTGGATAGTAAACACATCCAAAATGTTGCTGAAAGCTCTACTGACGCTCCAATGGTCAATTCTAGTACAGGATACTGCGTTTTCGATCCCATTTTACATCAATTCGAAGGGTTGACCAAAGTTGAGCGTGGTGCTAAGCTACTCACTTCTGAGATCGAAACTCTAGCGAGACTCAAAATATATAGCAAGATGAGCGAAACTGCTATTTCTATAGCGGAATTCGCACTTGGTTTTAACAATTCTGGATCTGCATGGGCGCAGGACGCAGCTATTATCAACCAGACGGAAGAAGTAATAGAGGGTGATGCTGGAACTGCTGAAGAGAATGGAAAGTTGAGGCATAGGGTCAAGGAACTGGGGTCTCTGTTGGAATAGTGGGTGGGAGCTAAAGAGTTCATTGTACGACGGAGGTGCCTAATTAGACTCACAGGAAGGAGAACCCGAGGTATACAACGAGCTTTATGTGTATGAGAAGGGCCAAATCAGTTATGTTTAGGGTAAATAAATAAATTTAGTCTCGATTTACTATAATTGACTGGAAATTCATAAAAACAACACAGACACAAGAGAACAAATTACGTTGTCAAATCCTTCGGCGTAGATTCTTGAATTCTCTTGTGCTAGAACGTTCTTATTCCTTCTAGAAGCTCAGAATCTCTGCCCTTCTACCCTTTCCACCTTAACCGAGCTAACTTAATATCCTCGCTCGCCATGCCATCTCCATTCGACGCCCTGGTAACTCCGACCGCCCTCTCTCCTACAGACGTCAATGTGGGTGCTATGCACCCTAACCCAATCCAAGAGACCCACACTGCCCGTGTGTCAATCTTGGCCCATGGAGACCAAAGTATGGCTCTTGATCCCATCGACCAGCTCAACCGCCTCAACCTTTTCGAACTCATCCCCAATATTCGCACAAAAGACGAAATTATCCGAGCCCTACAATCCGAGAACAAACAAGTAAAGGCGGAGAACAAGCAATTGGGCGCAGATGTCAGGCGCTTGAAGAATATCAGCGAGCAGCGGAAGGACGCTCTGTTAAAGTGCGGAGAGGAGATGGATGCTATGAACAACCGACTTTTCAAACTGTTGAAGGTTGAGACCCAATTGAAGAAGCTTCAAAAGGTTGTCGGCGAGGCTCTTGAGCCCGTCGGGGAGAATAGGGGTGAAGATATAGTGGAGAATTCGGGAGAGGGGGGAGAGGCCAAAGGACCTCAGGGAAAGAGGGGCAAGGGAAAAGGAGCAAAGAGGGAGGTTGAGAATGAAGATGAGGAAATAGAAGGTTTTGGACCGAATAAGGGTGCTAGAGTTGCTGAATAACAGAAGGAGTTTAGGGGAGAGAGAAACTAGAGTCTGTATAGAGGTTGGAGGGTAGACATGGTCCTAGAAGAAACAACAAAATATGAATTTCCTAATACATTTGGTCCTGGTTAATTTCCAAGCGAATTGAAATGTCTGCAATTGTATTTAAAGAACGGGCCGCATACGAGGCTCGCTCACTTCCTTCCCCCATATCTGGAACTACAGACTGTAGTCTGCAAACCACGTACTATACCCCTCGTCGACATCTCCTCCCAGCAACCCATCTGAGAAACCATCTTCCCGGACACCGCCATGATCAGCCGGGAACAACACTCTCGGGACCCATTACAAATATATCTAGCTATCCTAGCTATCTTCTACGTCTGCCACGAGTCTAGATTAGTAGCCGGGAAGCACTACACCAAAGTCACCAAAAATACTCTGAAGAAGTACAACCTCTCTTACCGGCATGTTTACATCAACTTTGACATGGATCATTTCTGCCACGACTGGGTCCATCGGTTGAATCAGGACTTGTTGGTCTCGTACACTTTTAGGCTTGAGGAGGTGTGCAAGATCAAGTAAGCCTTCTCTTCCTTCCCACCTTTCTCTTGCTAACTACGAAGGGTATTTGAGGCAAAATTAAGATACACAATTTTCCTCCACCACGAGACATATTCTTATTTAGACAATGTTTCGAGATTGGCGGTCTGGAAAAAATTCATCTTCAGGTTGACGAGATATCTTCCTGCGTGTGCATGCAGATGGTGATTTGGTCGCGGGGTTGGCTTTGAAGTAGGACTGTGCTAGGTTTGAGAGGGAATTGAGGGCTGATCCAAAGAAGGGCGGTGGCGGGTTGACGTTTTCGGCAGAGATGAAGTGGTCCTTTCAGGAGGAGGAGAGTCAGATGATGGATTTATGGCCCATTGCATCGAATCCCCACCTGGCTGTGAAGGCACCGAAGAAACGGGTTGTGCCGAAGAATCAGAGATCCCCGAGGAAGCTGGAAGTACCAACGCTTCGGTGGGCGATGGGGACCTAGGGGTAAAGACGAAGGAGAATAAAGGAGAGGAGTAAAAGCGGGAAGGCTGCAAAACAACTTGCAACTTATTGAGAAGAGAACTAGTTTCTAGGTGGCTCGTGCAATTCGGTCTAGATTGTACATGAAGAAACAGGTTCATTGGAGTTACGGAGCGTAGACAGGAAAATAAAATGGGCCTGGCATCATTTGCTCATCATCCGAGCCAATGTCCCAAGTGTCCTAGAACAGCACTGTCCCATTGCTCCATCATTCCATCTGTATCCGAATAATAAACTTCCCATTCGACGCGCCACAGATCTAGTATTCCATTGACTCATGCTTGATGTGAGTATTATTTTCTCTCTTGACCTCCTTCTTGACCTTGTTCCTGCCCTGTTTGTTGCTGGCACTGGCTTCGTACTTTTGAAGCCTGGCCGTAAGGGACTTGATCGCATCATTCCTCTTGCGAATCGTGTTTTGTGTGTTTTTGATCTCTTTGGTTCGGTTTTCTAAGGTGTTCTGGAGCTTTTGAACATCCCGAGGAGTGCCTGTGTGGTTTAGCTCCTGAAGGTTCTTCTTGAGTTGCTTGATAGTGGTGTTGCGCTCCTGAATGTCCCTGTTCTGCCAAGCGATTGTATTCTCGTGTGCCTTGACCAACCCAATTTCTGTCCGGATCTCGCTCTCCCTGATCTACAAAATAGTCAGCGGTGGCAAAGGGTCTGTTCCGTCGATGCTCATACCTTGATGATATCATCCTTGCCAGACATCAGAGCCTTGTTAGCCAACAGGGTCTCTTCCTTGATACTAAGAAGGTCATCCTTGCTGTGTATGATCAAATCCGCCCGCTGAAGCGCGACCTCCAGCTGCTCGATGCGCCGAGTATGATTCGTTTCGCTTTGACTCAAAGCAGCGACAAAGCAGTCGTAGAGAGGGTCTTTGCCAGGGAACTCTTCTTCGACTGAAGCGGAATCAGCTGACCTCAATGTCCCAGTAGTTCTTGGGTCACTTACAGTAGTACGTCCAAGTCTCACGTTCAGCCAAGAATTGATGGTAGATTGGCGGCACTTCTGGATGGGAGCAGGATCGTTGGGCGGCTGCGTGGCATGTGTGGTAGTAGTCACTGACTTCTTGAAGCTAAAGAGGTCAGTATTCAATGTCCAGGATACTGAATGAACATTGGAGTTGAAGACTCACGTCGAGGTTACGTTCTTGAGCTTTCTGGCCTATGGCGTGTATCTGGGAGTCGTATTGTACCTCCATGTCTGGTTGATTGCTGACAGATTGTTCTGAAACCGATGGTAGATTGCCACCGTTCCGACTTCGGGTTGTCGGGGTGTCGTTGATGCGGGTAATCAACCTTCCAGTGGAATAGAACATCGGAGGGAGTGAATATGTGCGGGGCTGACAGTGAGCCCCGAATCACCTTTGGCCTGCGGATCACATGACGATTTGTCATTCTCCCAGCCCGGACGAGGAGATTGAGAAGAATAGCTTATGTATCAGAGTTTCCTCAAAGTCTATATCAAAGAGCCTGTCATCTCATGTCAGTTCTTGTTACTCACCTTTCTTCCTGTCTTTGAGGCGAATTGGAAGCACATAGAAATGTAGGTCCTGAAGCCAATGAGCCCAAACTAGTACATTCGAATTCCTCATCTCAGATGTCGTTACTTCCTCAAACAAGTACTCCCAAACAGTACTCGACATCTTGTGCTGTGCAAGACATTGGGCGTGCTCCCCATCAACTTCTCAAAATCGTCTTCCTCTGCTCTGCTACCAGCGCCATTAACCCCCGCCACCTCACTGACATACCCGAAGTCCCTCGGCGGAACATAGTGATGCATCAACTCCGGAGTGACCACGAGGCAACTAAGGTCTTTGCTTCTACACCCATGCATTAAATGAATATCATAAGCTTCGTCTTCTCCCTTCCCCGCCCATATCGCAACCTTCTTCGCTCCTCGCTTCGTCAGCGCATACCCAATAGTCCCGACCGGATTGACACTTCTCTGCATAACGCGAGTGCCAGGGGTGAAACGGTGGAAGTATTTCTTGGCCCATCCTGTATACTCAGCTTCCAGGGGAGCCGACGGGTCCTTGAACTCAATCCGTCTCGTGTTGTTGTCTGTAGGTTCGCCCGAATGTCCTATCCAAAGAATGTCCCATGATTTCCCGTACGGCGTCTCATCTTCCTCATCCACAAAAGTAAACTCTCGTACCGCGGATGAAATGAGCTGCATCTGGTGCTTGATACTGACATCCCAATCCGCGTCGTCCTCGAGGATAAGGACAGTCTCGAGGTCCAGCGCGATGGCGTATTTTACCAGATCCAGATGGGCAAGCCAATTGTAAGCTTGTCCCAGTCCAGGGTGTTTTCCTTCGGCTGGTCCGAGATCACGGAAGACCTGGATGAACTCGGGAGTCGGGAGGGATTGGACCGGGATCTCGACATCGAGGCCAGTGTAAGCGGCTGCAGCTTTCAGTCCTCTTGTTCTCCAACTTGGTGATTTGGAGAGAACCAGAATCTTTTGAAACTGTCGAACTTATTTAGTCATGAGAACTTCACGAATGAAGCGCCGAGATAAGCGGCTGCGGGGACTCACTCCGAGGGTAGAGTTTCTTGCAGCGTCCTTGGAGCGAGTGCGGACTGATGATGCCGGCTCATGGACCAGGTAATAGCAGGTCAAAAACACCAATCCGAATCCGATGACAAAATAGCGGAAGGGTTGAGCTCGGAATCCGCGCCGAGCTTTCAGCGCAGGCATCTTCTATGGCGTGATGTGGACCCGTGCTCGGCCCCTTTTCCCAGCACTCTCACTGAACTTCACAGCCCGAGTTGGCCGCAGTCCTTGAGTGCAAGGGCTCCTCTTATCACCTCATGTTATGGGTCGGATGAAATGTGCACCCCATGAATGAGAACGAGAGATGGTGCGCGTCTAGATCCGAGGCGGAGCAAAAGAGTCAGGTGTGCGAATTTTACATTTTGGGTTGTCATTCCGACCAGCTGCAGGTGCCAAGGTACCAACGGCGTGAGGGCACTGAGATTAAGCCAATCATAGAGAACTTTCCCCTCGCGGTGGGTGAAATTGCCACGCTAGTGGCTGCACGCGAATACCCCTTGTTCGGTTAGAAGAGAACAGCTCCTCCAATCAGACTACTCGCATCTATGCGGCCGCTAGCGCTGGCAATGTCTCACCAGGCGAGGAGATAACTCAGTCAATTTTGTCCCCCTGATCGCGCCCAGAAAAAGTAGAGCAAAGCTATGTGCAGTTATCCTCTCGTCCGGTGAGACATTACTAGCATATCAGCCACAGCTGTGGCACCCAATAAAATCCCAGAAGGTGCCACACTCTATGGCTAGTAATATCTCGCCAGGCGAGGGAATAATAAAGTATATACTAACTAGCGTTGAATTTCTTTCTTCTTTTAAAAGTAGTTATTAGAGACCCTAATTGAAATTATTATTACGGGAATGTGCTATATAATATAATAGGAGTCTTACTAGGAGACTCTCAAAAGAAAATCGATTAATAATATAGTTGTTTGCTATAAGTGTTGCATGGCAACTGCAGGCTAGTCACGTGTGTTTAACTCACGTGACCACACCCACTGTATTTAGCTCTGGCCATCCGCGCCACACCTCTCTTCCTTCCATATCCTTATTATATTACAATACAACCGCATTTACTGCAACAATAAGGAAGTACTCGGGCAAATTATCCTCAGCATTAGAACTAATAGCCCGGGTGAGTTTAGGACAGTTGCGGTTTGGTTTTAATTTGCAGACTGCTAGTTAATTATTTTGGCCCAGGGGAGAGGTTGTTAAAAGCGGAAAGGGTTCAAAGGGTCTGCACAAGAGTGAAAGGAGACTATGGGGTGGATTTGACGCGTCCCTGAAATGGGAGACACAGTTAACGATTTTGGCGCAAGCCCCTTTTGGATCACCTACTCCAGCACTGTCTTCCTGAGGCTTTTGCCTATACAACTGACGTCCACCTTACCTGGTTTTACCTCGCGATCTTTAATTGTCCATCTGGGCGACTAGTCTCCCCGTGTGACTGGCTGCATTTGGTGGACTGGTCTTGTCTCGGTGATTAGTCTCCCTATGTTGATTGGTATCCCCTGTGCGTGACCGGTCCCTGTGGGTGCCTGGTTTTACTGCAAGTAGAGTCGCGTTGGAAGTCAAAGGGTATCGTCATGAAAGTACCAGGTAGCTCGTATACAATGGATCTGCATATCATTTCAACCAGAGAACTTGGGTCATTCACAAAGGATGGGCAAGATGTTTTATCACAGGAAAAAAGGGAAGCTTCAAATCTCGCATCTGGGGATGGAATTCCAATCGCCCAGAAAAATCAAATTCGCTTCTGAGTAAATGTTAAATATAGCCATAGTGACACTCCGTGTCAAAACACCGCCTGCTTATCCCACCAAGAACCCCAGCACCTCAAGGTGAGTCGACAAAACATCTTTCCAACAAGTATGTACGTACCACCTGCAACTAACCGACAAGTCCAACCCTCGAGAGCGGCCGTACCGAGGACTTGGTAAGACTCGGCATCGGAGTCCGATCACGGGCATCTATCTAGCTTTTGCTGAAGGTTGCAGGCGGGTAGTTCGCGCAAGGCAGCTCCCGTACGTGATGGTCCAGGAGCCGCCGACACGGGTAATCCAGGTATGGGAGAACACGCACCCAAGTGGTATTGAACAATTGGTCGTGGGTAGGTGCCTCGTTGTGAGTGAAAAAAGGGAGGGTGCAAGATATTTTGGGAGGTGTCCGACGAAAGCCGACGTTCTTGGCGTATCCTGGCCTGAAGAGCATCCTTTCGAATTTGACGAGGAATCGATGATAGAATCTGAAACGAGGGATACATTTATCAAAGATATACTTAAGTATACACGCGCTCGCGTACTCTTCGCCAACCCATTCGCCCATTAGCTTGACTGTGTAGGCGAGCGGGGTGGAATAATCAGCCTCGTTGATGCGAATTTTGAGAAGCTGGAAACCTTGAAGAGTCTGTTCTACATCGTTCAGACCCCTTCGCAGCACGTTGACACGCTCTATATCGTCAAAAAGGCTACAAGTATAGAAGAATGGCGACAATATCGAGCTCGAATCCCCACAGCTTAACTCGCTGTAGATGTCGTGTTTAAGTAACGCCAGGCCAGGCAGGTAGAAATCCCTCAAACAGCCCAAAGTGTAATCCAACAGAGGTAGTGCATTACTGCTGTTGCTGTTGTGCTCCTTGTGTCTTTCTGCAGTGCTTGGCATGTCGTCGGCAATTATCTTTTCGTGGGAAGCTTTTATTGCATTGAGGATTTGGACACCAGTGGTGGTTGGCTTTATCGGGCTTAACATGCGTGATCTGGTGTCTCCCGAGGTCCTTCCTGAGGGCGCAGACGTGCTGGCAGCCGGGCCATTGGCACTGGTGCCTCCTCGGTCGAATGCGCCTTGCATTGCTTCGGATGCAGACAGAATTTCCGCTAGAAGGAGTACCATCCGGGGACGGCGCAGCGAGTTCTGGAAGCAGATTATTGAGCACGGCAGGACTTGAAGTTACAGTGCTTAAAGACGATGTTGGCTCTGAGAGAAGAGCATAGGAGTTCTGAGCTGCAGACGTGTCGTCGTCTGTGGCTGCCGAGGATACGAATTATGCAAAGGCACTTGCCGAAAATAGTCTTGCGGGGGTGAGGAGGTAGGTGGTGGACGAGTACTCGCGCGCGGCGGTTGCTGCTGGCCGTCACCAAAGCCAGTGCCGAGTGTATTCGAGAGGTCCAGAAGTCTGGGATCGATTGTTGCCTGAGTTAGGTTTTCGGATAACTCGGGTGAGGGAGGTTGGGAGCTGAGAGAAAGTTCGAAATCGAAGGAGTGTGGGGTAGGGTTTAATGAATCAGAATCTCCGTCTGCGTTGGCAAATTGCCAGGTTGAAGTATCAGATCGAGCTTGGTCGCTTAAAGCAGGATCGACACAGGGATACAGAGGAGGTTGTACTAATTCATTGTGGTGGTCGGATTGGTTGCCGTGGATCTCAATGCCACGATGGTCGATGTTGTTGTGCAAGAAGTACAGGCAACTGACGTCTTGACCGATTGAGCCTGGTCACGCAGGCTTCCCGCCGCCGTAACGGCGGGTCCTGCGACTTGAACAGAGGTTGCTGGCCTCTTGACAACTTGCCAAGCGACTGCCCGGAAGGGCAGTGCTGCGATTGATGGACGCGGTTGAGATTCTTTGGGAGGACAAGAAGAAAAAGAGAGAGAAAGGGAAAGAACGTTCAAGAGATAAACCATTCCCTTTGTGAGGCCGCAATGCGGCCTCCATACTTGCCCGCCAATTGGAGCTGTGTTATGCGTGAGGCTGTCGAAGCAGATCCGTCCGTGGAGGCCTCATTTCCAAGCGCGGGGCATTAGATCACCGAGACCAGTGGATTAAACCGCTTCTGTCGCACGTGACTATTCCATCACGTGCACTTGCTCACTTCTTGAGACATCGAAATGCGGGAGGTCTCGGATGACTCTCTCTCGCAGATTGTTGAATCAACCTGTTTGTTGTGAGACTCTGTTTTATAGGTTATTGGAATAGGTCGCGAGATACTCCGTACCCTAGTGTAATGTCGCCTTGGGTGGCTGAGGCGACTGCTGCTGTTGATACAAGACACACAGTTTTTAAAACCGTCTATTTCGCTAAGCGATGTCCATAAATTTCATCCCCTCGTCTTTGAAAAATCCTTATAAAACTTCCTACAATCTTCAAGCCACTAAACACTAAGGAAAGATACTTGAGCTTCTTTTCTTTTGCCTAGAGCTTAGTTTAAAGTATTTGGATGTGGTCGCGTTGCGATGCGCAATTTTTAAAATTGTGAGATTTTGGTGTACCTCACCCCACTAAAAATAGACGATGTTCAAAAACTTTGCGCCTTTGTGCGATCTACGATTCGCAGAGGCCGCCCTGCAGGCCACCTGGGCTGGCGGCTACCTCATTCAACCAGCTCATGATCTTCGTAGCGAGCTCGCTGATCTATTTATGTTCTTTTGTTTTATTGAATGAGAAATGTCTACCTCTCGTAGCTATACAACTGTGGAAGCAAATTTCCCGAAGGGGACTTCAGGCTAAATGCGAGAAGCCAAACCTTACAAGAATTGAGTTTTCAAGTGTGAATATCAGAAAGGCCAGACCAACCCTGTTAGAAACAGACCGCGTCACTTAGCACTTACCCACAACCGCTCTTGATATGTTTTGGTAGTTGTGGTGCCATCTTGCGACTGCGATGTACGAGAAGTTCCGGGATATTGAGGCGGCGGGGTTTGCGAGGGGGTAGACTTGACGACACGGCCAATTTTGAAAGTGATACTTATAGATCAATTTTCAAAGCCTGGGCAGAATACTGTTGCCGGGCGCCGAGAGGGCGCACATTAAATTATTAAGCTCTGCATGTATTCCAACTTAAACTCCAAATAATTCCAAATGAATTGCCAGAAATCCAATTTCACTTTCGACTAAAGCAGAATATTCTCTTGATTTTTAAACAACCTCCTCAATCACTCAATTTTAATCGGGAACCTAGATTTGTCTGTGCAGATTTCCTCACGTCCCTCTTCGTTGTTGGAGCTATGCAATACTAACACAGCCGATGAGGAGATAGCGGGACTTGAGAGGAGAAGGATGAAGGTCTCACGAGAGTAGAAAATTTTTGGCATGTTCAAAGTAGGGTTGTATATGAGCAGGGAAATAGTGGTTATAATCTCAAAGTTCAAAGAAATACACATTTAGTCAGTCGTAAGGGATGGAAGCACGTAATGTGCCTCAATTTCGTGAAAGCACGATTCCTTTGTGGGAGAGACTTTGGAGAATATCAAATCCCATTGTATTTAATATTTGTCAGAATCATCTACTCTTAACAATTCTAGTTTCAGACATGTTAGATTCACAAGATACAGCACACTCAGTTCGTGGTACATCCATTTGCTGCCTTTGATTCAAGCATTAGCAAAGTACAATGAAATAGAATTGAAAACCCACATCCTTAGCATTCTGCTGATTTTGTTTGATTCCACCTGAGAACATTGTCTGCAAATTTGAGAGATTCGGATTATCTATATCAGGCGTTCCCGTTAATCCTTGAGCCAGCTTTAGCTCTCCCTTCTGTGCCGTGGCAACCTGTTTGTATCAGCAAGATGCGCTCTTATATAGGAAGAAAGGTTGTCTCACTGTGGCAAGTCCTGCAATTGCAGCATTCCCCGATGGGGCAATCTTTTGATTGTTTTGACGGATCGTGATTCCCTGGTTTACAATTGTGACAAGCTTGGATTTGGCGGTTTGGAAATTGCCATCGTCAGTGGTATTTGCGGAGAGGATTTTCTGTATGATAGTGGTTTGAGATTGCTCATTCTTTTGGACGGCAATGTTGTCGTTGATGCCTGATACTAGATTTTTGACTGCGGTCGAGCATGCGCCTCGTAGCATGAGAGTTGGATCAAGAGGGGCAACGGGAACTGCGGTGCATATCGTGGAAAGAGTGATGAGGTGGAGAAAAATTGTTGAACTTGTAGTAAGCATTTTGAGATGATGAAGAGAGGCTTCGTTGGCTGATACGACCAATGGCAGGAAACTGGCGATAGGAGTGCTGAGCTCCAGACAGGAAAAAAGTTGTGTTCTTTATGTTTTCGAGCTGGCACGAGTAACAAACAAGAAGGTGCGAAGAACCTCGTAACTTTCGCGCTCGGTTTGCATATTGCGAGAAACAAATATCCGAAGAAACAAGATGATTAGCATATTTGTGGTACGCCCGGTGGTATCTTACTCATATTTCATCTCTAACTTTAATCAAAGGATAATAATTGGCTCAGAAGTTCATTCCAGTTCGGCAGTTGGTTTATTCAGGACAGCTCGAATGCCTGAAGAGCAATGAAATGATCTCATGGCAAGCTCATAGTTGCACGCACGGCCATTCTCGACTGAAACGAAACAGCGAGCGGTTTGAAGCCTCGAGAAGATAGAGTTTGGTATTGCGTCCTGGAACGAACTGGAACCCGACAAGCTCGCGTGTTTCACGAAGGACAGGGACCTTATACTTCAAAATTACCAGAATAACTTAAATTTTCCTGGATTACGCTCTTCAAACCAGTTGTACGGCTAAGACAAATACCCTCGTAAGCGAATTTCTTCAGAAAGGAATAGATTCAGATGTGTGTAATTAACGGGAACAGAAGCTGCGGTTTTGATGTTGGAGAAAGCATAGGATGTGTTTCAAGGTTTAAGTTCTACCCACATGATGCAAACTTTAAATCCCGAGTGCTTAGCTGTAAATGAAGAGCGAAGTCCCCCACCCAAACAAAACACTTGTTACTTTCAGCTCGGACATGATTGATATGACTTCAAAACTTTGTTAAGTTAGTAAAGAAATGAGATCCGAATACCGACTCTGAACGAGTAAACAGCGGCCCAAAGGAGGAGTACATCAATTAGAGTGATTTTGATGCCTGTCACGAGCCAAGATATTGTTTGAAAACCAAGTTTCCGAAACAGAAGGATAGTTCCTGCCTCAGCTTGCTAACCTTCTAAACAAAGTATAGAGTACCCTGGGAAAATATATAATAACAATGACAATTTCATAGAACCTTGGTCGTAGAATAGCTAGAGACAATGAAATCCTGACTGGGAAGCGAAACACATAATTGGCTTTGATATAAGGTTACGTGGTGGGTGCGGTATAACTAATTAATCATTTTTTGTCGCCTCTGCCCTGTAATTAACGCGGAAAGTATGTGCCTCTCGGAAGTCAATTCTTGACTCTAACCGGCTTGAGTTGATAGACGTTAACGCGTAACGTTTCGCTCCTCATTTCTATGAAATTTTTGCATTACTCATCTACTAACAGTGTGTCAAATAAATAGATTAGGTTAGAATACCAGCTAGTAATCTAATCTATTTAAGCTAATTATAAATATTTATAAATATTCGAAATATTCGAAATATTTTAATTACTTTTTTAATATACTTTCTCTTAAAAGTAATTCTATAATTAATACTATTTATAAATAAAGGTCTTTAATTTTTATTATATTTTAGTATTTCTAAATATATTTATATATATATATTTGAGTATTCTTTATTTATTTAATTTTTAAGAAGATATCTCGATTTATTACTTATTTTATAAATATAAATAAAGCAACTTTATTAAAGTAATATTATAATTCTAATCTCTTAATTAAATATAATATAATTACTTTATTTAGCCTAGCTCTATATATATATTCTAGAGCTTCTATATCTTACTTTAAGTTCCTTTCTAGCTGGCAGGCTTAGTAATAATTACTAAGTAATTAATTAGTAATTGATTCTATATATAATTAAATACTATTAAATCGCATTAATTAGTAATCAATTACTAAATAATTATTACCCTATATCAAGCACTAAATTTTTAGTACCTATAGCCTATAATTTAGCGACTGTAGCCCTAAAATTTAGTAATAAGTAGCCTATAATTATAGGGCTTCCTTTCAGGGTGGGTAATAAGCCAGCCGGCTTATTAGCTAGCTTATTAGCTAGCTTATTAAGCCATTTAGCCGGACCATTTTTATTATATCAGTCAGTCAGCTGAAAATATACTAGCTTATAAGCGGCTGATTAGCTGAGGCTTACTAATATCGCGATTTTTGGGTCCCCTTAAAAATGCCAAAATGGGTATTTTTGGGGGGGTATAGCGGGTTAATTATGTAATAATCGCCTTAATAATTAGGCGCGATGGACTGAAAATCTCTTTATTATTTTGTACGCCTCGCACTTGATTCCTTAATTATCGTCAAAATGGACTCCGCACCCGCCCCCATTAGTCAAGCTTCTCGTGATCCATTAATTGGTCCTTCTGAATCGTTATCAAATATTCCGAATGCCTTTGCCCAAATGATGCACGGTACGCCTACGGAGCAACGGAAGGGCATACGAGATCGGTGCAATCGACTAGTGCCAACTTATAATCGAAACTATAACCCTTATAAGCCCCCTCCCGAAGATAGACGCCCTGATTACTTTCCATATACTTCAGGAGAGCCTTTGCACGATGATCGCCCGATTATAATTGCATGGCTTCCAAGAAAACACGTTATTGCAGGTGCTAGTAAGAGGAAAAGGACTACTTGGGTCTGGCAGCTTGGATACGCTCTTACAGATACAAGTAAAAAAGATGAGCCTACTATATGGGCATGCAAGCTTTGTATGCCCTTTTTATTATTATATTATGGATATATGCTTATTAATTTTCCAGGCCACCATAATACTGAATTTTCCAAAGGCCGGGAATGGTACTATAATAGTAACTCTCTCAAAAATACCGAAAATCACCTCCTTACCTAACACTTTCTCGATTACCAGGGAGATATATGGAGAGCATAGCATGGAAGTGATAGTATACAAGCTTTAGGCCCGGTTAATGGAGGCTATGAGCGTGCGATACCGTTCCGTTAACAGGAATTTATAAATGCGTTCGTTAAATAGGTTATAATGGATAATATTAAGTCTCGCAAAGCAGCCTCTTCCCGACTCAAGCGTGCCTTCAAAATTGCTAATATGCAAGCTGCAAATGCTTTACCGGTTACCCATAATACGGTGGAGTCCTGGATTAACGAGATGTTTTATTATTTTGAACCAGAAATCAAAGAAGAGATTCGGATAGCAAAATCACGAATACACTATACTTTTAACGGTTAGGGATCAAAGCATGAGAAAATTAGTATTATTAGCGTTATTATACACATGGTCAACTGCAAAGGAGAGAATGTAATACGCCTAATTGGGCTACCAGAGCTCCCTAATTATAGGAAACGTGGTGTTAGTAAGTTTAATTTTTTTTTGCTATATTTATGCCACTGTAAATAGAATTTTATATGGTAGTGTTAATAATTTACGAAAGCGGTATAGCGCTATTCGGGCGTTCCCGAGCGATTCTAGCCAATAGGAGCGCTTTGGCCGGACCTTAATTTACTTCCGAGATTACATGACTAACCCCCTCTATTAGATCAAGCTATAGTAATCCTACTATTACTTTAACGTTTTGGTATTAATAAAGATAATTTGGGCTATTTTGTACTTGATAATGCCTCTAATAATAATATGATACTGCAAGAGCTCGGCAAACAAATGGAATTTGATCCAATTCAGAAAAGACTACGCTATATGGGACATATCCTTAACCTTATTACAGAGGCTTATTTATTTGGGCAAGACGAGTCAAGTTGGAAAGAGAATTTTACTAAAGCAGGAGCAAAAGAGCGTCGAGAGCTTTGGAGATAGCAAGGAGAGCTAGGGAAGCTATATAACTTGGTTACACACGTTATGGGATCAGGGAAGCGATTAGACGTCTTTACCAAGTTGCAAATCGATTCTAATATTAGTATTGCTTTAGGCAAGTAATAGAAGCTTGTTCTGGATAGGGGGATACGTTGGAATTCGATATACTTAATAATTAGGCAAGCCCTTAAACTAAAAGAGGCCCTAAATATCTATGCTAACGATTTGAGAGATTCCGACGATTTTGATGATCAAGAGATCTTTCAAGAGGACTATATTACTACCGCTAAATAGAGAGCCCTGGAGATTATTAAAAACTAGCTTGAACCGCTTTTCCGATTAACTAAGGACCTTGAAGGTAACCACGATTTAAAAGACGGAGCACGAAAGGCATTACATAGTGCTTTATGGGAAGTGCTCCCTGTCTTTGAGTTCCTTCTTAGTTATTTTGAGAAGCTTGAAAAGAAGGCAAAAGCTAGAGATTTTAATGAATATCCTGGTATTCAAAGCTCAATTACTTTAGCTTGGAATACTATAATGTCTTGGTATAAGAAGACCGATAACTCTCTTGTATGGACAGCTTCAATGGTCCTATACCCTCGATTTAAGTTTACTTGGTTTGAGTAATACTGGACGTTACCTGGGGAAGCACGTACTCTTAGTTTAATGAAGACGAAGATACGTAAGCTTTGGGAGAAAGAGTATAGGGAGGATAACGGAATAGGTCGTACTAATTATTTCCCGGAGCCTGAAAGACAAGTGTCTTATCTAGAGGATATACTAAATCAGATGGCGCCTTCAAATTTATTATGTCCTGAAAGGCCTACACGCTCAAGAGATAAGCTTTCCTTATATTTAGCTAAACCTCCAACTAATCTTTTGGGCATTGCGGAGTATTGGAAAGCACGAGAGTCTGAATGGCCTTATCTTACTAGAATGGCATATGATTTTCTTAGTATTCCCGCTATGAGCTCTAAGTGCGAGCGGGTATTTTCCTCCTGTGCAAAGATAACTTCTCCTGAGAGTTCTAGACTATCAGGTAAGAGCTTATGGCATCACGAATGCTTAAAGAACTGGTAGAGGAGAGGGGCAATTCAGATGGAAACGTTTGGGGATACTATTACTCTAAACCTGAAGTAATATAAATTTTATAAAAATATATCTTCAACTGATCAGCTACTGATCAGCTAAATCAGCTAAGCCAATCAGCTGACCCCCATTATATAAGCCAATCAGCTAGCAAAATACCTTAGCTGATGACTGACTGACTGGCTTATTACCCACCCTGCTTCCTTTTCCTTGCAACTTATAAGCATTAAAGCTTACTTTCCACTTATTTCCTAAGGAGCTATTTCCTAAAGAGCTCTCTCCCAGAAAGCTCTTTGCGCATTATAGTGAGCTGTTTCCCAGAGAGCTTTTTGCGTATTGCAATGGCTATTTCCCAGAAAGCTCTTTCTAATTACAGGAAACTATCTCGCAGTAAGCTATCTCCCAAGAAGCTTTTTCCTAGGAAGCTCTTTATATATCGCAGTGAGCTGTCTCGCAATGAGCTGTCCTCCAAGGAGCTCTCTCCCAGAAAGCTCTTTATGTATTACAGGGAACCGTCTTGCAGTAACCTATCCCCCAAGAAGCTCTCCCCTAGAGAGCTCTTTGGGAAATAGCTTCCTGGAAGAGAGTGCCCCAGAAGACAGCTTACTGCAATACGTAAAGAGCTTCCTGGAAGAGAGTTCTCTGAGAAATAGCCATTATAATACGCAAAGAGCTCCCTAGAGAAGAGCCCCTTGAGAGACAGCTCATTGCAATATATAAAGAGCTTCCTGGAGAGAACTTCCTAGAAATAGCTTACTAGAAATAATTTACTAAGAATAGCTTCTATAATATATAAAGAGCTTCCTAGAGGGGGGCTTCCTTTTAAGTAATAATAAAGGCTTAGAGAGAAGGGAGAGGGGTAGTAATATGCAAGTATAGCGATTTTTATTAAAGTAAATTATATAACTTTGAGGGAAAATGGGGCCTTAAGTACTAAAAGAAAAGTGGGATTCTAAATATTTTCCTTAAATATATAAATAAAAGAGAGCCTTACCTTTATTATATATAGTATAATGCTTTACTAAACTTCTTAACTGTCTAGAATTAGAAAAGGGGATATATATACAGGGATTTACTTGTTTATAATTAATTATTAATCGATTTAATTAATACCTTATAATTATAGCATTAATTATAATTAATTACTAAAAACGCCAATTATTGCCAAGCCTGCTAGCTAGCTTGAATTAATTCTTTTAACTCTAATATAACTTCTGACTTTGCTCGATTTATATATATTAAGTTAATCGACTTTTAATTATATACTTTATTGAGTCTCAAATACAGGGTTTTCTCAGTTCTAGGTAAAGTATATATGAGGTTTTACTAAGCAAATATTAATTAGAGAGGACTTAAACAAAGTTAATTTAATATTCCAGAATTTGTAGAATAATTTAGCAAGGCTGAACTTGAATATTATTCAGGTAAGGGGGCGTTAAGCCAGGCTTAGGTTTGCGTCCTCGATAAAGCACTAGAGGAAGGGAAATGCGAGTGCTTGGATGTATAAATGCTCTTGGGAACATTACAGGAAATGAAACCCCAATATTCTATAGCTTTTAGCACAATAAAAGACAACGGAGCTCGATGGTTCAAGGACTCGTGGATAAATTGGACGAGAACCAATCATAAAAGAACTAATAGGAAATCAAAGCATATATATAGTCAAGTATTAATTTTTGGAGTTTGAACTACGATTGCAACGAAAGCTATCTTTCTAATATTGGATTTTCTATGACTGAAGGAGAATTCACCTCCTAATACACATAAATTCTCTATCCGATCCGGAACAAGACAACATTCACTAATCTAGCTCCCCTACTCGAGGCGTGGACGCTTCGTCAGCTGAGCGCCTCCACTGAAAGCAGAATGCCTGATAAGCTGTTTAGTCAGTCGAGCATTCTTAACCTTCTCCCTTTTCAGATCGTTATGGAGATACTGCTTCTTGTCACTCAACTTCTTTCCATCCTACCACGCTTGTAGCTTCCGAGTTATATGATTATCCTTGTGTGTCGGACGCTTCTCGTAGTCCTTGATTTCCTCCGTTAACTCCTCAATCCTAGCATCGTTCATAGCTTCCTTCAACTCCACCTCCCTCAGTTTTGTCTCAAGATCTCTGATTTGTTCGTCGTTGGCATCCTTTTCTGCCTTGTGGGTGTTCTCAGCCTCATTAAATTAATGTCGAAGCGCGACTGCAATGGTCAGGGGGATTTGATGTTCTTCTCTAGCTTTTTTCTCTATTGGGTTCGGACAAGGGATAGCTCTGTTAATCGTATCGCTCAAGTGCTATTTCATTCTCAAGAATGAGTTCTCTCCCTCGTTGGCCGCGATGCGGTCTTCGCTCGGCTTGTATTTGCCATCTGCCAATTCTAGCCGACCCTCTAGTTTCTCCATATCTCCCTGAAGCCCCTTGATGGCGTTGAGTGACTCCTCGTAATCATCGTACAATGGGTTCGTGGACAGATACGGTTCGCCTTCACAAATTGTTCGCTGGTCAATTGGCGAGAGCAAAGCTAAAGAAAAAGATACCCACCGAGCAGATTCCGGGTTGAGAGCTCGGCAGGGTATTGCTGAGTTCGAGGATTGGTGTTAGGGACATCCTCACGAGCGAAAACGTGAGCAGCATCGAACCTGATGGTACTGGGTCAACGAAGAAGCAACAGATCCGCGAGTTGTACTTACTCATCAAGATCCTGCTTCTCGGTGTAGCCGAAGGCGCCTCGATGTGTGATTAGAAGGCCGGCATATTGGTCGCGTGTCGATGTGGAGATGTGGTCGTTGCTGTTGTAAGGAGTGTTTGAGGAGAAGTAAGGTTTCTTGACGATCTCGAGCTCGAAGAAATATTTTGGGGCTGTGTTCATCGTTCCATAAATTCACCAATGTCAAAAATTGGATTTGGCAAAAAGGGTGCCGCTTCGCCTTTGGGTCCTTTACTTTACTACTTTCAACCTTGACTCGCGATGCACTTTCAACAACCGTATATTTCTTCCGAGTAATTTGCCAGTTGAGAAAAGAACATATACATAGCTCATTCTACATTCCTCCGTGTATTATGGAACATTCAAACCTCTCCGTGGTCCTCATTTCGGGAAGCGCCACATTGGGGGATTGGTAGAATCACGTGATCACCCCCCTTTCTTTCCCTCGCTTAACCTTCACTCCTTCAAAGTAAAGGAATATCCAATGTCCGACATCCGGAACTAACGTGGAAATCCAGAAAGATTGATGTGTGACGTCAGTCGTGTTTTCGCACCGATCTCTTTATCGAATCTATCCCCTTTTCGCGTTCTTCTCACACACTTGACACAATTGTCTACCCACGACCGTCTGGCAAGCCTGCTTCGGCAGCAAGCAAGTCGCAAGTCGAGCATCTCAGTACCTCCTAAGCAGAGATTTGGCCAAGAGCAAGTCACACAATGCCCCTGTACGTGTCGCAAATCGTTGCCATTGTAGCGGAAGCAAAAGCCAGGGGTTGCAATTTGCACCACTTGATGCAAGCCTTTCACAAATCCATAGAAATAGGCACTTGGATGATCTGTGAAAGCCGGAATAGATTTTGCATGCACGAGTACTCTATCGAACGCCGAATCTGGCTCATACTGTGTATGCCCAACCCCTCCCCATCCACTTGAAGCGGAATCTGATTCTCTGCAGTTGGCCACACTGATGCCAAGCCGTTCCCTGGCGTCAATCCATTGATCGAGTATAACCTGAAGTACCAGCAGCTTCAAGAAGCACGACAGGCTTATGAGGATAAAGGCCAAGAGCTTGACAACAAGCTCGAACTCATCAAGAAGCTCTCTGACGAGGCGATGGAGATTCAGGATGCATCCATAGAGAAGCAACGAAAGATGTATAAGTGGGTATACAGAGCAATCACCGTCGACGTGGTGATCACCGGACTGTATTATGGTCATCTCAATGGTTTTAACCAGCATGAGGAACACACGTATCTGATGCAAATCCGGATGGCAATGCGACGGATCATCACTCGTTTGGGTGTTGGCATTACCCAGATGCAGAGGGAGCATCAGGAGAAGCTCAATGCTCTTAGGAAGCTCAAGGTTGAAGTGGATAGGCTTGATGTGGAGATTTCTGATAAGGAGGCCGAGTTGGAGAGAATACGCGCGGAGTGGAAGGAGGTCCGAGCCACTTTCTACAGTGTCAAAAAGCCACAATACGGAGAGCAGGTTCGCCGGGAGGTGCGCTGACTGCGGAATAGTTGCGAATACAATGGTGCTTTTCTATCTCTGTTTGTCTGAAATTATCTTGCATGGTTGTGACTTGCTCTGGCTTCATTGCGGAAGAAGTGCTCGCTTACATTGCTTGATTCTTACATGAATGTATACATTGAGTTCTTGAGTAATTTAGAAGACTCGAAAAACTCCATGGATTGCAGAGAGTCGAGGTTTTCATTATTGGACAGACCTCCACAGGGGACGAATGGGCCTGGATGGCACCAAAGGAGTCTCGGAGGTCGTGTGAATCTGCATTGAGAGCCGAGAATGGTCTGAATAGACCCTCCTTGCCTGCAGTATGCAAGAAACAAGTTCATCTGGCCATTGAAGGCCAGCCCAGATCTTCTTCAAGTCGACGACCAGCTAAAGCTAGCTCAGCATCAATGCATTAAAATGAATCAACAGGGTGAGACCGATTACCGAAGGCCAGCTAAGCATCCCTATCACCCACAAAATCCAGAGAGATCACAATCCGTATTTTGAAACCGTATCGATTAGCTTCGGGAGAATATTGAAGATATTGAGTTGTATTTTCGAGGGCCAAATCCGAGCAATGGGGAAATTTAAGGTTGAATTGAAAGAGACATTGCACATACGCAGAGGAGGCGTTCTCGTCCACTCTCATCTCTGCACCCCCTCTCCTCGGAATCTCTGAATAAGTAGATAAATAAACCTCCATTCAAGATCCCATCCCCACTGTTCAACCTTCTAAGCATCGATCTTTTTCCTTCCACTACTGCCGCTTCCAGCATCATCAACAGCACCTCCACTGCGTGCTGTTCCACTTCATCCCGGTTAATAACATCGGCAAGCTTAACCATGTGTCCTCTTCGATCTCGCAAGTATTTCCATACACATGCTTGAAAAGCCCGTTGCGGGAAGGGAAGCTTCCGGACACTTCCGGCAAGTCTTGTCCAACAGAATCTTTGGAATGATCGCTACGTAGGTATCGTCCTCCAGTTTCCCGAGTTTAGGTTGGCCCTCGTCCGCGAGAAGGCACATCTCTTCGCTCGCGTAGCCTCCATTTTCCCCCAGCTCTTTGTCTTTTTGATCTCCAAACCCCGGGATCATAGTAGTCCTAATCCATGGCTCCATCATAATGCCTGAAACTACAGAACCTGTCTTCATTCTTCTGGGAGTTGTTGTTGTAGAGAGTTGGATCCGTAATGAGGCTTGTCGTCTGGGTCGCCGTGTGATTTTTCTTGTTCATTCATCCTTCTCCTCCCCCCTTCCAATATCACAGATCCCCAACCCATACTTCCCGGCGACTTCATTCCCAATATCGTCAACTCACTTTCATCCTGTCTGCATCCACGCCCCCTGACCTCTTTGATACCGAATCGGTCATCGTCATCTACCGTCCTTACCGAAAGGTCGACTCTTCGAGGGTTGAAGCACATTCTAGAGGGATGTGGGAAGGTGTAACCGCCGTGATTGTTCGATACTTCCATCCGATCAGTTCAGGGTGTCCAACAAAGGGCTTCTCTCCTCGTTTGGCTCGCCGGAGCCGCTTTTGGCACGGCCATGGAAAGGCATCTTCAAAGTGAATTTGGCAGAGCAGAGCCTCGTCACCGGAAAATCTTAATTCCAAGTCCTAGCCTCCTCGGTTGGAATCCCACAACCAAAACAAAGCCGAGCCTTGATAATTATTTGCTCCCGGCCCGACCATTCTTCCCTTTGACACGAACAGCCAATCGGCGACGAAACCGACACAACCTGTCTAACGCAAAACACTCTAGCTCATTCGACCAACCCGCTGCAGAGCAATCAGCATGGCTTCACAAAGACCAGAACGTCTGCTTGTAGACACGCAGATCGCCTTTCTCCAAAACATCCTCAAAACCCAAGATGTCAAGATCGACTTTGAAGAGCGTGTCCTATCCATGCTCCAGTCATCCCTCGAGTACAAGGAGACGACAGATCACGTTCTTTTTGAGGAGGTAGAAGAAGCCGAAGAATCCAACGTAGAGCAGATGATGAATGAGGGCGAGGATGAGGAAAGCGAGCCCGCGATGGAGGTTTCTGAACGTGTGGAAACTATGGTAGCAGAGACTCGCGCTTACCAGGAATGTCAACAACAAGTTCAAGGTGATGTTAGTGATGCGGTCTTGGAGACTGGAACGGAGGGAGACGAAGGTCACGAGGGCGATGAAGATATGGGGAACATTGAAGAAGATAGCGACGTAGGAGGCGCTGGTGACGGTATGTTACACTTTCAACTATTAAAGCTATGGAACTAACATGCCTCAGATGACGGAGAGGCTGACGATGAACTAGACGGAAATGGCATGAATGAGATCGAGACATCGGGAGACGAGTCAACCGAATCCGATTCAAACACCTCCTCCCCCCAAAACCACGCTACTGCCATCCCAACAAACGTTGGTTTGAGTAGTCAAGGTGTCCACAATTATCAGCACAATGACTCCGACTCCGACTTCGACCTTGCAGCCTTTCGTGCCGCACATGTAAAGCCCAAGTACGGAGAAAAGGCCCCTGCTGGAGATCCAAGGGAACGTCTGTTTTGCGACCACCCAGGTCATCCACGCCTCTGCAAGCACCAAGGTCTGATGAGCGAGACGGAGGGAAGTGAGAGTGACAGCAATGACAGCACGATCGACGACGCAAGTATGGGACATTCCAGCGACAACGAGCCATTCGACGGCAGCGGCGGAGACAATGATGAAGATCAAACCGCGGTCGAAGAGCAAAAGGAGCGCCTCCGAACCAAGATTGCAGAGAAGGAAGCCAGACTTGCTAATTTGAAGGCCTGCAGAGATGAGCTCAATGAAGTACTTCTGCCGGAGATTGCGAGGTTGACGGAAGCCATGGCAACGGGGGGAAAACTCAAGGAGTTGCAAAGCAAAGGATATTTGACCATGGTCGAGGACTATGCTTCGGACCAGAAGCAGATTCAAGATTTCGTGGCTAAATATGATACCGCTGAGGAGGTTAGGGAGGAAGTTGAGGAGAAGGTAGAAAGCGAGGATACGACGGCGATAGAGGCAACCGAAAGTCAGCTTGCGACTCTAGAAGTTCAAGGTGCTGCGGGTACATTAACGATGGCGACTATTGGTGACAAGAAGCGAGATCGAGGCGATGATGAGGGAGATATGGGCATGTCCAAGAAGAGCCGAAAGGACCATTGAAGTTCACTACGTGTTTGGAACATTGGACCCGATTCGTCTGAAGATTGCAGTGCGGAATTGGGAAGTAGCGATGGAGGAATGACTAGCACTTGCGTATTTTGTAAATTACTGTATGTTGAATTACCGAATGTAATCGATACCAAGAAAACAATGAAGGGTCACGGTCATGGGCAAGATGAGGACCAAATCACCCATAGAACGAGGGAACAATGTGAAGCTTTGTAAAGAAAGGTTGCTCCATTCTCTCCTAATCGAATTTCAAGCCTCCTGAACTAAAAGGATACTGTGGAGCCTGATGACTCTCTCTTTGGCATCTCGAGCACGGCTGATCGCCAAAGGGCCAGTCGTGGGTGTTGCTACCACAGTTTCGGCAGGAAGCTGAGGGGTGGCGTGGGACCCTACCTCTTTCCCGGAAGTCACCTTCGAATCGTGTGTATTGAGAGAATGATTGCTCCTTAAGGTATGCTACACTGACAGATGGTAGTGCTCCAAGGTATTGTGCTCCACGGAGGTTCATTCGTCCCTGTCTAGTTGAGATCATGGACCAAGGAGGTTTGCTGAGGCCATTGTCGGGGAAGCTTGAGGACGTTTGCGGAATGCTGGGAAAATCAGGGGCGGAGGGTAGTACGGCATGGTTGACTACTTGGTGGTGTGGATTCTCCAATGGAGAGTGCAGTTGGAGCAGCCCGCAGTTGGTCTTGTTGTCTATGAACCATTGTAACAGGAAGTCGCGGTACTTTGTAGAAGTGGAAAATTTGACGCCGATTTGGTTTGAAATCAGATGCTGTCTGTCCGTGAGGCGAAGTCTTCTTAGAAGCACTGGGCTTTTCTAAATAAGTTGTTGAGCTGGCAAATGGCTCAGTTACCCGCGGCAGCTGAACATTGCACTGAGGGGACGTCCAAGGGATGAACCTGAGAACCAATCCTTTCCGGATTCGCCCAGCTGGGATCCTGTACTTGTTCATCAACGGTTTGGAAAATCCTGACCTTCTTCCTTGCAGCCGCGAATTGGCAAGTTTGTAGGTATCGGTCGAGGAGCGCCTATTTCTCGGGATTGAGGAATCGGAAGTCTCGCACAGATCTCAGAGGCGGGTTGCCGGCTTTTTTCACAACCATCACAAACCATAAGTTCGATGCATTGAGATTCTGTGCCTTTTGATTTCCTCGAAGCGGTCGATCTGGGCATCGGTCGATGTTGTGTTTGGTAGTATTGCACAGAGGGCATCCAACGAGGAAACCGTATACATCGACCTTGCGAGTGCAGTCCGGAGTTCATGGCCCTTCTGGGAACAAGCACCGCAATAGCGTACTGGATCGATTGGTTTTTGGACTGCTTCTGCTATGATCTCTTGTTGAGTCTTGGCCTTCTGTGTGACCTTCTGTCCGGGCGCGGCGATTTGAGGGAAAGAGGGCGGTTGATGCGTTCATGGGGTTTGACCATGATCGGTATTGGATGTAGCGGGAACGGTAGGACAAGCAGCCAGCTCAGGAATGATGTTCAGTGACTCCATATCTCCAGAAATAGGAGGTGTGCCGGTGGACGGTGGCGTCATAGAAGGAGCGATTGGAGGAGGGCAGGGCTCGATTCCCGGGAATGGCTGTTCTGGCCCTAGATTTTATTAGTACCTGATTTTTCTCCAATGTCCCAAAAGCTGCTAAAAGAATGAACACCACATCTGATACTCAGCCCTGTGCTGTTGTACTTTGGGCGTCATATTAGGACAGGAGGTGTGAAGGTGAAGGAGGCGGTCACGATAGTACTCGTGCACCTTGACGAATCACAGCTTCTCCTCTGCTGCCTTTTAGCGCATGGTCCCAAATTGAGACGGATATTCCATGCTGGGTGATATAATCACGAACTAGGTGTGGGGGTCGGTCGGCATTGTTCTGGCAAACGTTGGTTGAATTTGAAGATGTTTTCTAGCGAGATCGCGTGGTTTGAAGCACGCGTAGCTCGGGCGGTGAATATATTTCTAGAACCAGACCTCGAAAGTAGCCACACTTCTTCTGTTCACGCCCGTTCGTCAATACGAGCGGTTTACCAATCGGGTGCTACGATTGGTCAATCGGCCTTCCGATTAATCAATCGTAGCTCCCATTGATCAATAGGAAATGGAATACGATTCGCAAGCCACAGTGGGTCCCGATTGATCAATAAGGGGGCCGATTGATCAATCGAATGGCCGATTAATCAATCGGGTAATATTGGGGTTTCGGGGCTGAGGAGGCTGAAACCCTTTAGTTCTCAGTATGTAATAATATATCCTCAAGACTAATAGCTGAAACCCTTTAGTTCTCAGTATGTAATAGGGGTAAAGACACTTCTCCAGAGCTTCTAGATATGTATAGGGCCTCTGCTCCCTTTTTACTACCTAGACACAGTTCACAGCACATAGTTCACAGCACAAGCACCTACTTTCCAAGCACAATTACTGATTCTATATATCTCCCAATCAATTACCTTACTTCCAATATGTCTCTTTCAACCCTTCGTTCATCTCCAGCCCCACGTACACCTCGTCAACGTGTCTATGGCCGAGCAGAGCAATATTTTGATATTACTGCACCAGGAGCACGTTCCTCTGGCACTCAGTTTTTGCCCTCCCCTATTACTGAAGACCCTACTAATAATTGGTCCGCTAAAGACGAAGCTGCGTGGGATCAAAGGCTTGCTAAGGGCGGTAGTAGGAAAATTCTTACTGCTAGGAAGCGTATGGATATCAGATAGTGGTTGCAAAATCCTGATGCTTCACTCCCTAGTGGAACAAAAGCAGAGAAGCGCTACCAGGCTAATATTAAGCACGAATCCCAATTATACGAGCTTCAGGATAATCAGGTATATCGTAAGGAATACCACGATACCCGCCGCGATGAGATTATTCCAGCCCGGTATACCCTTTGCTATAATAATGCCTTTGAGGTTTTGATTACTATTCATGAGAAATTAATGCATACAGGTAGTACCCCTTGAATTTACTAATTTTTATACTAATAACCTATATAATAGCCTTTAATACTATATTTGAGCATACAAGACGTATTTGGCATGGCCCATCCCGTGACGACCACGCTTGGATAAGTGCCCGCTGTGCTTACTGTAATAAGGAAAAGGCTCAGAAGAATCCTAAGGGGATTACACCTATCCAATCTCATTATCCTGGCGAGCGTATGGTTCTGGATTTAATGGATTTTCGTGTAAGTATCCCTTAAGTCATGTGATTTACCTCTATATTCCTGTATTTCCTGCATTTCCTGCATTTCGTGCGTTTCGTGCGTTTTTAAGCTTTTCCTGCGATTTTCGCGATTCCTGTAATTTTCGTAAATTCCGAACCTTTTTATTCACACTTTATTAATACTATAGTATTACTATTACTAATACTATTATAGCATGATCGGGACGGAGAATATACGTGGATCTGGTAATTAAAATGCCACTTTTCCAAGTTCGTATGGATCCGTGGGCTTAAGGCTAAGACTGCGGACGAAGCTGCGGACGAGCTTATTAAATGGCTAAATAATAACGGGTATATTTCCATTTTAGCCTGTAATAATAGGGGTGAGTTTAAGGGGAAAATGATTGAGATTTGCAAGAAGAGAGGGATAAAGATTATTCGCGGACGAGCTTATTACCATCAATCTCAGGGCTCTATTGAAGTGGCTAATCGAATCTTCAAAAAACGACTACGGGCCGCACGAGCGGATACTAGTATCCAATCGTGGATACAGTTACTTCCTTTAATCGCATGGGTAATTAATACCACAGCTACACCAGCTCTTCCTAAGGGAAATACACCATACGAGGCCTGGTTTGGACAAAAGCCACCTACTGATTTCCTAGACCATAAGGAGAGTGCTCGCCGCGCACGTGCGGCCCTAGGGGCTATAGGGCCTATGGAAGGTACTACTGAGAGTAGCGCTTCTGGAGAGGATGGAGAGGATAGAAAGAATAGAGAGAATAAAGAGAATAGAGAGAATGGAGAGGATAGCTTTTTCGTGGATAAGGAAGCAGAACAGGAGGAAGTAGCTGAGGAGATGATTTTATCTGAGCTAACTAGGAGGGTTGCGGAGCATATGAGAAAATAGAAGGAGAATATAGTAAAGAGAGCGAATTCCAAAGCTCTTGAATATGATATTTGTGATGGCAGGAATAAAGCAATGGAACGATGCTCAAAGATCAATGATTTCCAATGTCCTACAGAATCTAAAGCTAAGGAGAGAAGGAGTGAGGTGTGGCAGTGGATAAGTAGGTATGGCCAAGACCATTGAAACGCCGAGCTTTGGAAGCGAGCTTGGTTTGAACCATAGCTTGGAATCTTAGCTGAAACCAACCCCTTTGGCTGAAACTACGTCTGTATTAACCATGTGACACCATCCGTCACAATATTCAAGAGATTGCAACCCTCCAGATCCCAAAGCAATACAGATTCGGTACGGAAATGGCTAGAATTCCAGTAAGAGTTCTGGAAAAGACTCCAAAGGTATGTAGTTTATAAGCCTTACTTTTAATAAAAGCTAATTAAAATAGGGCTACCGCTTAGCTACTAAGTATGGCGAGCTTACTACTCTCTGGCCGCATAGTGCCCTCAATAAAATCACCTCCCAATCAACTTATCCTGATTTACCTACTACTGGTGCAACCCACAAGAGGGATAAAATCACCCTCCCTAAAGCGGTAGCAAAGGAGAATAATCGTGGTTCAATTGCATCAGTTCAGAAGGCTGGAAGAGCATCTGAGAGAGCAAAGAAGAGAGTAGCTGAGGAGCAAGCACGTGAGAATGGAGCTAGAGAAGGAGGAGAATCAGGTGATCAAGTGGAGGGGAGGGTACCAAAAAGGGCTAGGGTAGCTATAGGAGCGCCTAGACGTAGTAGGAGGCATGTATAGTAAAGCTTTTGCTATTCCCGAGACCTCAATATTAGCCGATTGATCAATCGGCCCCCTTATTAATCAATCGGGACCCACTGTGGCTTGCGAATCGTATTCCATTTCCTATTGATCAATGGGAGCTACGATTGATTAATCGGAAGGCCGATTGACCAATCGTAGCGCCCGATTGGTAAACCGCTCGTATTGACGAACGGGCGTGAACACTTCAAGATCCCAAGTAAGTTTCTTAGATGCGGAACAAGGCCTAGACGTCCGGAGTCTGCTGGTACACTCACGTATCCTCAAAGCTGAAGGTTCGAGAATTTTCTGGGACATTCCTCACTGTTGCCATTCCAAAGTATTTTCGCTCTTTTTTCCAAGAAGACCAAGGCCAAGCCCTTTTCAGTTCTCGAAGGTATCAAGTGCTCCTGAAGGGTCTGGAGCAATTATTTGGATCCATAGTGAAGAGACTGGCGCTAGAAGTCTAGGCATCAACGCTACCGGATTTACAGTGCGTCTAGCCCGGTTTCTTCCCATACACCACATGCCTATCACCATTAGCACAGCTCTTAAGATCTTCAAGTATCCCTTACATTTGTACATAAGCATGCACACGCCTATTTTCAATATCCTTTCTCACATCCACAAGCAAGGATTCGACTTCTTCGGTCGACCAGCCTAGCCCTCTCGTCAACAAAGCTGTCGTCGAGTTCAGCCCCTCCAGTAAATCAAACTGAAACCAAAGACCCAACAACTTCAAATATGTATCCTTTGGCCAAGTATTTATTGGCCAGGGCAATATCTTTTCTTCAATATCAACGAATCCGATCTCTTCCATCCAACCCTTATATTGGTTCGTTCTAGTCCATGGTTTCCCAACTTTCTTTGCCCCCTCTTCAATCAACATGTTCCATTTCCATAGCGCGGTCCCATTTAAACTGTCGTCAACACATTTCATGGGAAAGTCAGCATCCTGCATTTCGAGGTAGCCTCCTGGTGCCAGTGCATCAAAAGCTCGTTTGAGGACCGCTCGGTGGTCTTTAAAGCAGCTAATCAGGAGGCGACCGTGAATGAAGTCAAATTTCTGAGAGTATGTCCAGTGGTCTTCAATGTCGTCTATTTCGAACGTGCAGTTTGCTGGAATACTAAACTCTGTCAGCCTCCTTCTACTACTTCCCTAGGGGCTCGCTGACAAGTTTGGTTGAATGGGGCTGAGGTCATTCCCTATAACTTGTGCCGAAGGAAATCTAAATGCTGCAAGACTTCAACAGGTGTCAGGCAATTTTGGGTGAAGTCTCTCACCAAAATCTATCGCCCATATCCCAGTTCCCGTTCCCATATCCAAAACGTTTTGTGGATTGGGTTTTATTGGAGCCGGGAATAACTGGTCTTGGAGCGCAATACTCCAAACGTAGTGTTGCATATCTTGAAGACACCTTAGCAGGTCTCCCTGACAGTCGTTGACCAAACCGCACCTAATCTATCTTGCTCGATCTGTTGCAACCCGCTCACATCAGCAATTCTCCATATATTCAACCAGGGTTTCTAACCTCATCGTTCGGCATAACATAGTCTGCAGTACCTATTCAGCAACCACACTCCCCTCAACCAATATGTGCCAACTCACTGCCTTCCTTAAACCGATGGTATGTCCTCCCATTCTCAACCATATAGTCGTACACGCTCGACTGCACCGAGAATACAGAGGCTCTGCGATCTAATATCAATTAAAGTTCGGAAGGTTCGGGGGAAGGACTGACGCCCGCGACAAATTAGCAATCGCAGAATCATTGTCCGTTGAATCGACCTTATCTGCAGTTAGTACAACCTAGGACACGTCACAGGGGCTTCATACACTGATCATCCCGTCTACATACTCCACTGAGGTCTCAACAGGCTGGTATCCCTGCCGCGGGGGAGAGTGCGGACCAGGGGGAGGTTCTTCAATATCGCTTGCTGCCAGCGGACCACTCTGCGTGGACGACATGCTGCGCCAATTTACGGCTTGGCAATAGTGGTACGAGGACCAATACAGAAGGCATGGTTCTCAAGGAGAAGCCATCTGATTCTGGATTGTGGAGATGCGGGTTCAATGGGAGGCTGCATGAGGTCGGGTACGGCGGTAGGTTATTGCCTGATTAGGTAAGAAGTCCGTACCCCGCTAGAAGGGTTCCCTGGTCAACCGGCCACCCATAAATCAACCCACTCACTAATTATTTTAGGTTGCAAGTTTATTAGATCAATCTTTAGTAGATAGCAATAATCCATATACTAATTTAAACTGCTTTTGTAAGTTTATTCGTGCACTTATTCGTTATCAAATTAGTACTATCCCCCCCCCTAAACACTTACGGTGGGTCTAATATTCGCCACACTCTCATGCTTCACTCACACCACACCTCACCCCATTCCAGCCAATCAGATCGCTCAGAACCACACCACGAGCACACCACGTACACCACGTATTGCCATAAGAGCGGCAGAATTGCTCATACTATATAGCTTCATTATTTAATTAATGAAAATGGATTGATATACTACTCCACTACCATACGGTAATTTATATGACGTAGAGACTCCACCCTCTGGATAGCCACATACTCCTCCCTTTGATATTAATGAATTTATTAACTTCCCTCCTAGTTCTCAGCGAACTACGCAGTCGTGGGACTCTCGCAATGGCCCTAGGGCAGTTCCTGAATCACAGCAGATAATACAGTTAAGAGATTCACGTAACGGTCCTCGCTCTCCAGCCTTACCCTCTCCTCCAGCTCCTCCTCCAGACTCTCTTCTCACGTCTACTCACGGCCCTCTACTTATTATCCCAGACTCTCAAGCAGACTCCTCTGAAGAGCTCTCTCAAGGGAGTAGTGCCTTGTCTCTTTGGCGAAGAGTTGATTATACACGTGATAAGCGTATCCAGATTTAAATAGCTTTCCTTTTCAAGATACTACTATCTCAAATTAAGGAGACTCTAGACGTTACTGATAACTAAATCTATTATGCAAAGAACTACTGCCTTACGCCGTAGAAGAGCAAGACAGGGAGGTATACTAAGCTCTATATTCCTGAAAAGACTATACTTAAGGAGTGGCTACTTTTTTTTTCTTCTTACCGTCACGTGGCATATTACAAGATCTTATACTTCCTTCCATAGCTTCATACTAGGGAGAAGGCAATACGTATAGCTATTAACGAGATTGGGTATTGCCGCTATATCTCACGAAAGAAGGGGTTCTTAGATGATCCTGGAGTTTGCCAGGAGAGGCTAGACTTAGTAGAGGACGGGAAGACATGGCCACGCCCACGTATATAGAGTATTTGCTTTATAGACGAAGTATAGGCATTTGGTAGAGCTTATACGAGTTCGTATATTATATGCTTAAAGGATAGAAGCAATTGCTTACTTCCTGAGTGTATGAGATATAAGTACTCTAAGCTCCCTTCGTAGATATTCTGGGGGAGTATAGTTAATAGTAAGAAGGGACCTGCTCTTTTCTGGGAAAAGGAATAGGGCTTAATTAACTTTACATGATATGACTATAAGATTCTCTTAATAATAGAGTAGTTCTTCCGAAACCACTCCCTTTGTCGGTACTAGTTCTGGCAAGATAATGCCTCCTCTTACTAATTATACGAGACTAAGACGAATTTACTTATTTGCTATATTCCTATAATTCAAGCTTCTCGGTATTTACTAGACTTGAATCTTATTAAACACGTATGGAATTGGATAAAGAATTAGATAGAAGAGTACTATTGGGAAGCATGCTACTAGCTGGATAAGATCCAGTTAGATTAGCTCCGCAAGATTATATAAGATGTATAGAACGCTATACTAGACGAGTATATCCAAGGCTTATATAATAGCTAGTAGAGGAGATGTCAAGCTATAATTAATATATAGGGTGGGCTAATAAAGTATTAAAGAGAGGATTATATATAGAGAAGAATATAGAACTCCAGGCCTCTGGCTTTATAATTTCCTAATGCGGAAGTGTAAATAGTAAAAGCTAACGAGATAGTAAGTACTGAGTAGAGAGAGTGAGGGTAAAGACTCTGAAAATACCAAGACTGCTAGCTTTATAATTACCCGATTGGGAAGGCGGTAAAGGCTAAGTTGCGTGTTTTAAATAAGGTAATGCGTGGCATTAGACGGTGGCGAATATTGGACCTACCGTAAGTGTTTAGGGGGGGGGGATAGTAATTAAAATCAGGCCTAATACTAAAATTTAGCGAGGAATACCAAAAAATCTCAAAAAGCTATGTTTCGTAGTTTATATTATAATAGTGAACTCTTTTTGTTTTAATATACATTTCCTTAGATATTAATCTAATTTATTTATATCCTTAGTTTTAGTTAAAACATTACGTGGTTGAATTATAAAACGATTATTTTAAGTGGCCGGTTGACCAGGGAATCCTTCTAAATGCCGAGACCTCCCCTGGAAATGCATTCTCTTCCCACACCACGTTAACATGAAAAGAGTACCGGTACATTAATCAATCGCTGTCAAAAGCCGCACTGGCAAATATTTCTGCTTATTGGGTATGTATGGCAAGTGTTCACCCATTTTTTTAAAAAAAAATTTTTTAAACAAAATTGATTGCCCGCCACCGCCCACCTACTTGATGAGGCCCCTAGGTAAGAGGTCAAAAAAGGACATCGTACCAGTGCCACGGAATGGACCGAGAGGAGAGACTTTGAAAACACAGAATTTTGCTAAAAGGGTGGGCAGTGGCGAGGCCAGAGAAGATATAGCACCAATCAAACACCAAAGAGGCACGAGTTCCACTATCCTACGAAGTGTGAAAGTAATTCAAGGAGAACCGTTTATGTCGCCAAGTCCATTGCCAAAAGTTGCAACCTCAAAGGAGGAGTCATCGAACTCAAGATCGCCAACGATCACGGTATCGGTTTCCAGACCGCCTGAAAGGATTTGACCACTTCCATATTCGGTTGATCACTAGGAACCAGGGGTTGCAGCTGAGGTACTTGACAGAGCATAGTTGTGCACGGGCTGGGAATAGGTCCTTCCAGTGAGGGGTGTGAGAGCCATGAAGTCTGGTGCTCCTGAATCGGGATTGAACAGAAATGTCTGAGGTGGATTACCGATATCAACGGCCACGAACCAGCTAATTCCAATTTTTATTTAAAGACTTACTAGAATTTTTGGGGCGCTTAACTTACGTGTTGGGAATGCTAACTTCGTCTGTAAAGCCAACGGCGGCGGCGTTGGAATCGCGAGGTCGGAAACGATTTGTAGGAACATGACCGTTGATCTCACGCTTCAACTTTTCGAAAACCTTAATCACAGGAACAGAAATTCAATTTGAGTTTCCAAGGAACTTGAGACCGCGAGGTGCGACAGTGCTGCGTGAAGTAGGAGAAGCATTTGCACTACCTACCCACGAAGGGACTAAGAAGCACACACAGACGACAACAGCTTGAGAAGTTTGAACCGTTTGGAAAGAAGATGATCCTACACTGGATTCCAAGACCAAGTAATCAGCTTTGGTACTTATAGTCTTCGTTATGCGCAGTGCAAAAGTTGTTGGGCGATGGTGAGCCCTACCAAAAACTCCACACCTCGCTTCAACCCTGCCAGGCGAGACAAGTAACGTCGACGTAATCGTATTCAGAGAGAAGAAATCCAAGTGAGGTTGTCTGTTAGACAATATTCCGTCATCTCAACCACAAAGGGGAAGGTTGCGACTGATTAGCTGTCCAGGGGATGCAGAGTCAGAGCTGCGCCTTAAATCCAGCAGCGTAAGAAACGAACGGATGGACTTACCATGGCCAGCTTGGATGGTGAGCTTACATTTTGCTCCTTTCCAAGTTGGTGAGTTAAAGGCTATTGATTTTTGAGGGAGTGGAACGAGCGCGTGTTTGGACTTGCTATCGGTGTGCGCGATGTGCCCTATTGGTGTAGGGTTCCTACAAGTCGGAGACAAAGCCCGTGCAAGCCCTGCGGAGATTTGGAGGATCCGGATTACGTGTCGAAAGAAACTGTGGGATTTTTACATGAAGGGAGATACCTGAATCTCTCGTTGGTCGTTTAGCCTTTTCTTTTTTCTTGTTCAAGGTTGGATTTCCTGAGAGTGATGAAGTGTTCCTCAATCTTCATCAATGTTATCCTTAGCACACTTCCGGGTGTCTAAGCCATACCACCACCTAAGCCGCTTGTTCATAAATCAAATTCATCAGGCCCAACTGGTGACTCTTCCCCTGCGCATCCTGTTGGTTGATACACAAAGCGTTAATCTACAGGAATCGCTCCGGCCTGCCTCGCAGAGCGTGGAGAGCACAGTGTACGACGGCATAAAGTATCAGGGATACAGGGCATTGGAAGACTTTTAGGCCCTCCAGCGTTCAGATTAAGGTAGCAAACTCGCTATAAGGCTAAAAGCAGCATTTACGCCTTCGATAAGGGCTATCACACCTTTTTAGGGCTTCCCCCTGTACTTATAGAGGAGTCTTCGCTAAGGAGGCCTATAATGGTCGCTTGTTTAGTGTCCGAGCGCTATAGTTACTTTACCAATAGCGCTATAACCCTAGAAGATATACTTATCCCTTGCGAATGTCTTATAGCGTTTCTTTACGTCAATTTAGGGAGCACTGCCTAGAGTTACAGGGGCTTATAGCGAGCGTCTGCCATAAATTCGCACTCTGTAGAGCACCAAGGGTCAAAATGCCCGGTATTCCCGATACTTTATGCCGTTGTCTTCGTAGATTTTTGCGCACATGGAAGTGGCAATCGTTGACCCATATATCCAGACCGAGTGTGTCCGGTATTCCCCGTGTGTAGGAGAGTGCCTCGTAACTCGACTCGATATTTGAGGGCATAAGTCCGCACTGAACGGCGGCCATCTTTTGGGTGAAGATCTGGATTGAGAATGAACAATCGGATGGCTCGTGACGCCTCCTCAGGTTGAGAATATTGAAATTGATGAGCCATTGAAAAGATGCTGTTGGCTTGCGTCCGAAGTACATTGGACGTGAGATGAAAATTAAAAGTAGGCTTCGGCTCCAAATGCGATCCTGTGGCAGCTGTACGAGGCTATGCAGGATGCAAACATGCGATTGGTGCGGCCTGCACCGCCTGAAAAATCAACCAGTTGGCTAAAACGACTTGAGGTGCCCTCAAATGGAAGGACAGTCTGCTCCATGCCCCTGAATTGTGTGCTGGGCTCAAGCGATAGAGTGTTGAAAGCATACATTAAAATTTCTCAGGGTGGAGGCAAATGAGAAGACTTTCAATTTGGAGATGGAAGCCAACGATTACAAAAAGAACACAAGGATTTGAAGACAGAGGGCAGAGAGCATGGGAGGGTGAACTTGCTTTTCTTTCCACGTTTTTGTTCTGTAACCGAGTCGTCTCGCTTCCCTCGAGCCACTCATCACTTAGAAAGATAGAAATGAACCTGTTCTCCGGCTCAAACAATACTCTCTCAATCTCCTCCGTCATATCCAGCAACAATTATACGCCGCCAGAGCCCACCTCCCTTACCATGTCCGCCGCTTTTCACCACAGGCATGCGGGATTAGTCAGCTCACCCCCTTATCCGCTTTTTTGGATATCGACCAAAGCTCCCAGTCCTGCAACCACCAAATTGTACAATCTTTCGACTTTGGGGGGAATAATCTCGATTTGGGCAAGCGTTGGTAGAGGCTGATGTCGCTGGCATCAGCGACAAGTATGGTGGTTCGCATCTGGTAAGAGCGGCAGCGACGAGATGTGTTTCTGATGCTGCTAGTGCTGCGATCTCTCGGGTGCAAGCTCTCCACGTTCATATTGCCCTTCATCCACCGGAACAACGTCGGCTTGGTTACCAGCGGCGATGGAGGGTGCCTCCGAGACTAGTGAACAGTTTCATGTCTCTGCAGCCAGGGGTGATTGACCTGTTTCAGTTGAAGTTCTCCATGAATCTCATCTCCTTCCTAAAAATAAATTACCACTGAACTTAGATGAAATGAGGACGCATAGGTAATACTTACCTGTCTAAAACCAAAGGCATCTTGAGGCAATTTCTCGAGAGCCCTCTCTTCTGAGAGGGTTGAAGAATTCGCTGGAACTGATTTGATCTTCATTTTCTTCCGCGGAAGGGTTGATGGTTTTAGGCAATATTGCTGAAAGAGTATGTGGCCAAAGACGTGCAGTACCTCGTACTTCAAAGCAGTTCCTGCAGCTCTCCAACCCAAATGTGGAAGCCCGCGTGTCAAAGAAGCCCAATGTATAGCGCACCAAAGCGCCATTGACAAGTCAAATCACAGCGGGTCCAGGACCGAAGGAAGGGGATAAACAGTATCCAACTTTAGACCGCGCCCCCAAATTTCAATCCCCGTTCATGGCTTGCTCGCCTCTTTCCTGGCCTCAATGATGTCCAGCAGATTATCCGGATATGTCTGGCCTCGAATCGTCTTGGGTTTGTCCGGATCAAAGTATGACCACCACGAAACGTCTTCTTCATCATAAGAATCGTGCTCACATATCGCATTGCCATGAGGGTCTTCTCGGCAAGTGAATAGCATACTCGGGCGGTCATGATCCGAGAGCTGCCAGAAGTTCACTCGCCTAGATCTTAAAGAGCGGTCGCTCATCATGAGTTCCAGGGTCTCAAGGGCAACGCCGACCTTGCGGCCTCGAAGATAAGAGAACAGGTGGAGGGCTGTCAACCGATCTGCTGAAATGTGGGGTGGCTTGGCAGTCTGTTGCCCGACGGCAGTTTGCTCGTCGAAATGGAAGTAAAGGCGAAGGCTCGAGAGCTGTGGAAACTGTGTTAATGCGTCTAGGAACTCGTAAGGCTAATATTGAGTCTCGATTAAGTGTATTTTCAATGATGAATTGGAGCGAAAGCTTACGAGTGTGTTGACCATAACCATATCTAAAATTAGTGAAGAGATTTGAGGACAAGCTTCTCGCAAGGCGTCCAAGTCGTCAGGTGTGTAGGAGGTCCGCTCTACTCCCCTCGAAAACGTATACGAGTCGTAAGCCTGCCTAGTAAACCGTAGCTCCAATGTATTCAGTGTTCCAGCAAAGACAAAGAAGGTCGATATTGGTGGGAGACGGACTGAGATGATAATTCGGAGAGTTCGCACGCCTCGAATGCTGGAAACAAAATTTTCCAAGACGTTTCCCCGCTCCTCGAGTGGCTTGTTAAAGTACAGGATAGTTAAACTCTGGAGACGTAGTAATTGAGACGCTAGGGGGAGGAGGAATCTATCCATATTGAAACCTCTGAGTTCCAGTCGGTGCATCTGAGTGAAGTCGAAGAACGAGGATGGAATGATCGATCGATCGTCTTCAAGAGGCTTGCGAGTTTCGAAGACAAGTTCCGTTAGCGGGCTGAGGCGCTCGCCAGGCTGGACACATAGATCATAGGTTCCATGGCCGTCCGCGAGCCAATCGACCTTTCCATCGCGCGTCCTAGGTAGAGTGAGGTGCAATATTCTCAGATTGGGACTGCCGAGAAGCACATTTTTCAGCCATCTCATGGCTACGGGGTGTTCGTACTCGATCACTACTTGAATGGAGTGTATGTTATGAAAATCAACAAGACTTTTTAACAGGTTCAAGTCGATGATTTGCACTTCATCCACATGGGTTTGCAACCCAACTGAAAGGCCCTCGAGGTAAAGCTTGGCATCCGGCCACAATTGACGAAGACGTCCCTTGATTACGCTGGGGAAACGTTCCTCCCAGTGTAGCCACCTATGGGAGAAGTGAGGGAAATACGGCATAGTAGGTGTTATAAAAAAACACTCACCGTATAGATTCCAAATGTGTCATCCTCGAGATCAGCTTAGCAAGTACAGTCCAATTGAGCTCGCTGCTCACAGTGAGATGACGGGAATAAGCAAGCATGTTCGTCCGAAATGTGTAGTCGCTGGCTGTAAAACAAGTGTGGTGCAACTGCTGTAGATTGCGCGAGGAGATCGAAAGCGACCGGTACAATAACGAACTTGAGATCATGGAGCATCTCTTCGATACAAGGCAGAGGTCCAATAAGGATCGTGGTGAGATATGGGACACCTGTAAATGTTGAGCTTTGCCTGGAGGCTGGAGCTAGTCTGAGACTGACTTGCTCAAATATCGAGAGAACGAGCTCATCACTGAGTTGCAGGAAACCGGGAGCCATTTTAGAGGCGTGACAATTTGATTCTCTAAACAGAGATCTCCAGGATACTTTCGTTTCGTAACTGCCCTGGCAGGTAGACACGAGCCACTCGACGTGGGGATATTTGAGAGCGATTACCCAGCTTCAAGGTTGTTCCTGGTGGTTCTGCTCTGTCAGGCAGGGGCGTCTTGTGAGATCCACGAGAAGATCATCCCATTCTTTGTCCTCGAATATGAACATATAATGAAGGTGAAGGTTCATGAGTTGAGCTGGAGTCAGAACTTGTTGTCAAGGAGGGAGCTAGTCCTCGCGGAGGTTAGCGCCAGGAATCCGCCCCGCGCCGGCTCTCGGAGTCTGGAGTCAATTCAAACCTCACCTCTTCCACCGTCACCACCAGTTTATTTCAGCGACATGTCCACCGGCAACATAGACAGGGTGCCAGCTCAATACCCGAGAAGATGATACCGAGGCAATGAGGTCTCGTACAGGATGGTGAGTCGACAATCGCATGCTGGAACTCTTCCAAAAGATCCTGCTAACTTCCATGGCCTGATCACAGTCTTACTTGCCGCCAACGAAAGCTCAAATGCGACGAAGAAAAGCCTGTCTGCGGCCATTGCCGTAAAGGTGCACGCGAGTGTCAGCCCAGCGATGGTGTTGTGTTCCGTCACCAGCAGAATGCGTCGATGAATGGAGGTGGAGAGGTGGAGGTTCGAAGTGGAAAGCTGGCGCGGTTTTATGGTTACAGGGACAGCTTCAATGAACACAACATATGGGTAGAAGTGCCAAAAAGAGGTACGCAGATTCTGAGCATTGATCTTGAGGAGCAACGAGCTGACGGATGTCTGGAGTAACCTTCTTCAATGTCACGGACCCATACAACATGGAAGCAACCCCAGAACCCGAAGCCGAGAATCGAGCAGATTCCACCCCTAGAATTGCACCACACATAGAGGAGAGATCAGCAGAAAATTATTTCAGCGTGCCTTTTGATCAGGCTTCCGGCTTAGAAGCCCTCTCTGAAGCAGCAACCAGCAATTTTCAGTATACGCGGCCGGTGTCGGTCCCGGTCCATTCGCCAGGAGATATCAACGCATCACCCCATTCTTCCAACAACTTGAACTTCATATTGAATCCCACTGAGGCCGAGGCTTCAATTGGTACCCCTGGAATCCGCAAAATCCAGTTTATAGTTGGCATATGCTAACGAATGGTTGTTAGGCTTGGCGTCACCAGCAATAGACCCCACACTGAGTCCCTCATTCGCAACGCCCAACGACCTAAAGCCCATTGACGACCATGAAATCTCGTACCTCCTTCGGCATTTTGGTGAAACGACTGGCCAATGGTGAGCAAACCTAGTTTTTTCGGATGTTCATCGTCTGACAAGATCAGGATGGACTTGTTTGATTTAGGCTGTTATTTCGCGCACCAAGTCCCTGTTCAGGCACTATCGAATCCTCTCCTCAAATTTTCAGCATGTGCATATGCTGCAAAGCAACTCTTCAGGGTTCGCGGGAGAAAAGCTGTCATTGGTGGCATAGTGAGCCAACAAGCTGCAATGGAGCTGTATCTTCGCCCAGAAACCGTGGATTGGGAATATATCGGAGCGAAGTACTATGACAAAGCCATACAGCTATTAATGGAAGAACTTTCAAATTCAGGGAATTCCGAGCCTCCAATGACTCCAGCAACCGCAGTCGACGAGACCTTCAGTCCTCACAGCGCCCACCAGTCATCACAAAGTGGACGGCAGACCCCTGGAAACAAGAGACGCCGCCTTTCCCGACAACCGTCGTCAAGCAATCCTGATGAGACTCTGGCAGCAGCCGCGATATTGTGTGTGTATGAGTTTTTGGACAATGCAAATACTGCATGGGCAAGGCATCTCAGTGGTACGAAGTCCTTATTTGACCTGGCAGAGAAAGAAGGAATGATGCCAGTTCGGTCACCTACAAGTCCGGGATCACTTTCACAACGGATTACACCTTCAAGAGCCCGCAGAGCTACATTCTGGAACTTCGCTCGACAAGATTTCCTCGCAGCCTGTAAGCCTTAACCTTGAGTTGGGGTCAAACCAATGCTAATCCATTCCAGTCATCAACGAAACTCAAACAAGATTAAACACGGAAGACGTCGGCCTTTGGAGGGCTGCCGGCCTCCAACTGGATGAAAGAGGATTTGTTGTTCCAAGTAATACGGAAGAATCCCAATATCCGGACCGACAAATTGGAATGCGCGAAGACATGGTATCAAATGCTCTTATTTGGTTGATGTCGAAGATTATCAACTTTCTCGCCTCTGGCGATTCTGTCGACAATGTATACCCGCAGGATCGATTAAGTCCAAACGGGATACTTGGTATCAACCAAATGTTACTTCTCGAAAGGTGGAAAGAACTAGAAAAGGAACTCGAAATCTGGTATAAAGGTCTCCCGGACACATTCAAGCCATGTGCTCGTCTCCCCCCAGTCACCAACGGAATTTATCCAGTTGGCTCTCCACGATCTCTTTTCTCGGAAATTTGGTATAGCATTCCGATGTGCGCTTCAACAATGCAATCGTATCATATGGCCCGAACCATTCTTCTCATGAATAGGCCTCACGAGTCGACTGCACGACGTTCCACCCTGTCAGATCGGCTTCATTCATATCGTGCAATTGAGAAAGAGGTCCGCTACCATAGTTATGAGATATGTAGTATCGCTCTGGGCAGGCCTGAAGGGAGTGTACGGATACATCAAGTGCAGCCGCTGTTCGTTGCAGGTCAATGTTTGACGGAGACTCACGAACGGCGCATTATTCTAGATTTATTACGCGGAATCGAGTCTGATTTAGGCTGGGCAACCGATTACCGTGTAAGACAACTGCTAAAGGAGTGGAATTGGAATGAAGAGCCAAGCTGAAATGTTACCCTTTGAATCAAGACACCTGCTCTTTCATGTCTAACTTCGAAACGAACAATCAACAACCGCAGGGAAGGTTCTATGTTGACACTTACAACGTGAACTTTCACTTTCATCATGGCTTTCGACTCATTTCTGATAGCCATATGAAAGATTCAGAAACCCCAAGCTATGGTGGGCCGTCTTTCATTGCAGAGACACAAGATACTTCGAAGCGCATCTAGCTCAACTGCCCCATTATCAGTGCTAGAACTCTTTCTTCTTGTATGTATATAATCAGTGGCAGAATTCCCGATCATCTTGTTACTTCAGCGCTCTGTTTTGCAGCAAGAAATATGGGCAAGGGTCGGAATCGCAGATCTCGGCGAACTCAAAACGATGAGTTCGACTCACCACCTCCACCCCGCTATCAAAGTAGAGGTTCTTCGGCCTACATACCCCCCTTTCTTCACTCTGGACCGCCTCTACCATCCATTGACAGTAATTCCAACTTTGGCACTGACAATCCCTTCCATCGCCATCGGCAGGCTCAGCAGTCTCGACCGAACCAGCCGCGGCATCAAAATCACAATCAATCTCGCCCTTACCTTCCAACAGCACAGAATCATCACGTCTTCCTCCAGAAGTCACAACGATTAAAGCAAAGCCTCATCCGTGTCTTCACTCAAGCTCTTCGGCAGATCGAGCAGTGGTATCCAGATGAGAGTCCCAACGGTGATTTGATGGATTGGCAACCAGAAGATGAATTTGTGATTCCGCAGCCTGACAATACTGTCTACAATTACGGAAATGGGGCTTTGCAAATGGGGGGATTTGGATATGCTAGGGAAAAAGTCAGGGAAGTCATGTTTGGGACATTTCCTTCTGGGAAGCTGAGAGCAGCGGGCGATGTTGCAGTTTCAGGCACTTCAGGCTGTTCCACAGAGCAGGCCCGCTGGAATGGTACATCGAGACGAATTCCCGACCCTCAGTCTGTATCGCCTTTGAGCAATGACCTGGGTGGCCACCACGGTATCGCTTGATGAATGCGTGGGTAGGATAGCAAACGGAACATGGCGTTATCAAAGCTTACAATGATGTTACTCTTGTCGACTGAAAATATGCACGCGCAATTTTCTTTTCGCAACATCGATTCTCCGTCCCCTCCGTACGCTCGGGTGGACCAAGGATCTGGGTCTTCCCCTTTCCCTGAAAACTTCCGTGCGCTCCTGTTTCTTCCTTTCCCTTCCGAGCGTGTGGGTCTTTATTGGGAGCGTATTACCCTGCCCGTACCCTTACTCCGTCAGCCAGGTTGGGTTCCCTTGCCTCTCGCCTGTTGACCCTACATGACATCCTACCAATGTTCAGCATTAGCGCCTAGAAACGGCTGACCGTATGGCTTGCATGCCCTCATGGCTTGCAGCGGGGAACTGGGGAAGGCATCAAGATCTTTCTTTCAGCTTCCATGCCGCGAGGTGGAAGAGCAGACGCCGGAGCCATTGGAGTAATTACCAATTCGGTCACTGAACCAGGACGTCGCACGAAGCCTCTGGTGCCCTGTAACTGTGCCCCATACCCGAATCAGCCCCTGCTACACACACCGAGCCTGCAATAGTAGCAACTTCGCCCTTACCTTATCTAAATACGGTAGGCCTATGCTAATATTTGTTAAGTAAGACCTAGCCTTATTAGGTTACTGTCTCAGAGCGCGGAAAGTCTCTAATCTCTGCTTCGGTAAGCGGATTGAGCAATTGCGGCCTGCGCGAAGGAATTACCGGTGTGATATCTGTATGAATGGCGATGGAACCTGTGCTTTTGATCCAAATGAGGGTATTGGCTGCAGGAAAATGTCGTTGCCTTGGAATGATTTGATCCCAAAAGCGTCCATGTAGGACGGTTGGGCTCCGACACCTGGCAGTCCTGCCTCTGCGTAACATTTCTATTTTCGTGCGGTCGGCAAGTCATCTATACCCCTTATCCCTGTGTACAGTGGATAACCTACCAGTAATCGCTGAGACGTTTCGCGTACAACCGAAGCGAGTGTGCTTACAGTCTTTGTTGGTCCGCGAAACGAAGAGAGTATATATTCTGGGGTAGGTGCACTATTTGCCATCACATTTCTGGAGCTGAAGTTATCAGTGCATTCTCCTCCTCCTCTTACAGAGCTCTGTTAGTCTCGAGTCTCTAACACACCTCAACTGTCCAGCTCGATTAGGAGCATCTCAACTCATCGTAAAAATGGCCTCCACCACCGACACTGAGAAAGCGCCGTCTGCAACCGAGATCAACACAGCTACCCACGAGCCCGACCTCGACGAGATCGGTGAAACGGAAGGCTACATAGTCGATATCTCCCTCGTAGCCGACAAATCTCTTGTCCAAGGACTCAAGCTCGCACCAGACGGCCATACAGTCCTGATCCCGCAACCAAGCAGCGATCCAAATGACCCATTGAATTGGAGTTGGACGAAGAAACATGTCGTGTTGATTATCATCAGCATGACTGCTTTCTTGCCAGATTATGGGAGCGCCACGGGCGCGGTAGCGTTGATACCGCAGGCTGCGTGAGTTTGGACCCATCCCCTGGATTTCAACTTTGGATTTTGCGGCACATAAAACTGGGAACGAGGCTGACCATTGTTGAATAGAATTTGGGGTATGACGGAGGATACGGTCAATCATTCGCAAGCAGGGAATGTTTTCATGCTGGGCCCTGGTGGGTTGGCAACCATTATTCTTGCAGCGTACTTTGGCCGTCTGCCCGTGCTTTGGTACTTTGTGATTATTGCGCTCTTGACTGCAGCTTGGTGTGCGGCTGCTACGAGTTTCAATAGTTTCATGGCAGCGAGAGTGCTAAATGGATTCTTTTCGACTGTCGCTCAGGGGGTAAGTTACCCCGCGTCACCTGCTGCTGAATCAAACGTGACGATTTTCTAGGGTGGGCTTATGTTCATCAAAGATATCTTCTTCTTTCACGAGCACCCGTAAGTCTCTTCTATTTTCGCAGTCCAAACTTCTCTAAAACAGGCGGCAGGCGCAAAATCAACATCTGGGCTGGATTCGTAATCCTCTCCCCGTACTTCGGCCCCCTCTTTACAGCCTTTATCCTCAATGTCACAAAGTGGGAATGGGGCTTCTGGCTCCTCACGATAATGACAGCGGTTTGCTTCCTCCTCATAACCTTCTTCGGCGAAGAAACCTTCTACAACCGACACATTCCCGCCTCTCAACAAGCCGTCCCGAAGTCTCGCTGGCGAAGAATCATCGGTATCGAGCAATGGGAAAGCAGGAAGCAAAGGAGCACCTTCTGGGAAGCGTTCGTGAGACCTTGGAAGGTAATCGCGAAGCCGACTGTGCTGTTGAGCTGTACTTACTACTGCTTTACATTCGCATGGGTTGTGGGAATCAACACTACGCTTTCCATCTTCCTTACCCCGCTTTACAACTTCGGATTGAAGCAAATCGGTAACATTACCTCTACTTTGTTCTTTATCCATGTTATTGGCATGTTCTAACGAAAGTCGCACATAGGCTTCTTTTACTTTACCCCCGTCGTCGCAGCCCTCCTCGGCTTCGTATCCGGCCACTGGCTCCACGACCTCGCAGCCCGCGTTTACATGAAGCGCCACAACGGCATCCTCGAACCCGAAGCGCGTCTCGCCATCATCTGGTTCAGCACACCTTTCATGATCGCCGGCCTCGTCCTCCTCGGCTTCTGCCTCGAAAACGGTTACCACTACATGGTCACCTCTCTCGCGTGGGGTCTCTACGTCTTCGGTATCATGGTCACGACAGTGGCTATCTCGAGCTATAATCTTGACTGTTATCCCGAGGGAAGCGGTGAGGTTGGTGCGTGGTTGAACCAGAGTAGGACTCTAGGTGGTTTCGTGATTAGTTATTTGCAGGTTAAGTGGGCGTTGAAGACGGGCACGGAGACGAGTTTTGGGACGCAGGCTGCAGTCGTGGGAGGTATGTTCTTCATTGTGGTAATTCTGCAGATTTATGGGAAGAGGATGCGAACTTGGAGTGGGAGGTTGCATTTTAAGACTAATTAGGCGTGAGGAGTGGAGCAAAGTGAGTGGAGAGGATGGGATGGGTGGCAATGGATTCAGGATATGCAATGAGTTATGAGGATATGATGATATGATGATACACGATGGGTGTCATTTTGGGGGTCGGAAGGCCAGTCACTGCTTGCTTTATTGGTTCGGATCTCCAAAATCATTGTCACTTGTCTCGCAGTGACTGCAAATTGGTTCCAATGCCGAACGTTGAAGCCTAAACCAGATATTGCATCCAACTGCCCCCTTACACCTTTCAGGGTTTAATTTATTCCCTAGCGAGTTGTGGCCATGGGCCATGCTTCAATTTTCAGGGCCAATCTGGACGAGTGTTTTACTGTTCCTCCTTCTCAACTCTTGAGTCATGTTCCGAGGAGACCTTCAATGTTCTCTCGGGAAGCTCATCAGTTTTGAATTCTGGCTCGATGTCCTTCTTAGCTTCATCATTAAAGTCCTTACCAAACCCAAACATCTTGGCGTACTTCGAAGGGTTGGAGAAGTCAGCAGAGACGTTAAAATTGCCCCCAAGAAGCTTTACTACATCGGGACTGAGATGATTGACAGTAGTGAGATGCGAGATCTCTGGTGTTCATCGAGCTTGTCCTCTTTTCCGTAGCCAGGCGTTTTACTCTCTTTCTTCAGAGCTCCTCCTTCAAGTCCCCAAAACCGCGGATTCCCTTGTCTTTGTCTTCTTTCTTGACACCAGCGTGGAATTTCTTCACTTTGAGGAATACTCCCCATGCATTTTTATCCCGAGCAATCTCGTGAATCAGTACAATGTGTTCTATTTGGCGAGTCTGGCACTTCACTTCCGCGATTGAGAGGGAATGCTTCGTACACTTGCAGTTTTTGCCAATGAGGTCATCACACAGCATTCCAATCTGGCAGCATTCGCAATTAAAACGATGCGAAAGGCACTTTTGTCCATCGTCTTCTTTATTCTTGCATTTGCAGTTGCCTCTGTTGATGAATTGACTGAGATTCTTGTAAGTGTCTTGATATCAATGCAACTTGTTCACGTATCGTCGATATTTTTCTATGACCTCATTCCCATTTTGGACTTTTGCAACATCAGAAGGTGATTTGTTTGCCTTCAAGAGATTGCGATATTGTGTCTTTGATCTTGGAGGTGGTTGAGAAGATGATCTTCTTTGCCCTCCCAGCCACGAAATTAATCAGGGGAGCGAACCTCGCCAAATATATCTGCCATTTTTCCAACACCTGAAGCTCTGATCTGATGCACCGAAACCGACCGAACATTACTGCACGGGGTTCAGCTTTCAAATGTGGTGTGGTGGGCAGGCCAATAATGGTCAAGGGGCCTTGCGCCTCAAGTTGTGCCGTCAGCCACCATTTCCCAAATCGGGAGCTTGTGTAACGTTGATCAGGCAATCAACATTCGACAGGCAGCTTTTTGAACAATGAGGGCCAATTCTTCTCACCAATATTTGAACAGTAATTCGAGGTATATGTGCTGAGTCCGTGGATACTGCAGGTGCATTCGACTACCGGCCTTTGGGACACTGATGACTAATTGTTGTTCTTATCAAGTCTTCTACTCTTCAGCCGAGTTCCTATCGTTAAGTCTACCTGCAATCTAAGGAACCATGCTGGTTGATTGTTTTTTTGTTTTTATCGAGCCCTGTACCTATGGTTCGAAGTCCGTTGGCTAAAAATCTATTGCAAATATCTGGCGCCTCTCTATCTCCTCATTAAAAAATAAAAACACCGCAGAAATACTCGCATTTAAAATCAGGCGCAATCTCGATGTCCTAGATGTCCCCTAACCATACTTGCCACACAAACACCTTACGCACCCCAGCCCACAACTCTATAAAAACCAACTGGACGTTCTTCGGTGACTCCTCCCTCGTTTCCCCGAACTTTCTCGATAATCTTCCTAGCGACCTCCAAGTGCTCGATCGTAGAAATCTTGTGCCCTGCATACTCTCTAATGACCTTCGCAACTGTAATATGTCAATTATTTGACCAGTTCCACAACCACTGAGTCACACACCTTCAATCTCCAGAGCCGTCCATGCCTTCGGACCTGGCTTCTTTTCTTTCGGTTGTGCCGGAGCGTCAGAACTCGGAGCCTTCTCCTTTGAATCTTCTCTGTTGGCCTTATCCTTTCCCTTTCCACCTTGCTTTGAACACGGAATCTCTACTCGTGGAACACTTTCTCCAATATAGAAGTGCTTCTCAACACCCCTCTTTTCAGCCTTTGTAGCCCCCTTGCTGGATCCCTCTCCATTGTCCTCTGGAGACTTGTAACTTCGAGGACCTCCATTCCATGCCGGAGCAGTAATGGTCATGTCATAGCTGCACGAGCGACCAGCTACAACTCGCTTCTGAGCTCGGGAGTGTGTTTGGCAGTCTCGGAGAGGTTTAGGACACGGTGAGCCGGTGCCGACGTCGGCTACGCCACAGCACTTGTCGAGGTCGACTTTGGGACGACGAGGGTGAGCGGTAGACTTTTTAATACCGGTGGAGATTGCGGAGAGGATGTCTTTGCAGGTGGTTTTCCTGTCAGGGGAGGGTCTGGTTGGTGCCATGTTGGGTTTGATTGTCCTGGTAGTAGTTTGAACAGTGAGTTGGATTGTCCTTGATATATGTGGAACATTGAGAGATGATTATACTTACTGAACTTCGAATAATGCGGCTGGTGGCATTAGGGCTTTGCTGGGGTGTAGTACTTTTCATATTTTCTGGTGAAAAAGGAAAAGGTCGCGAAGTCCTTGGGAGTCGTTATATACTGATGATTCACACTAAGTCGGTGAACTGTTAAAGCGGCGCCGCGGCAGAGCATCACGATATTGCTCTTGACTCCTTTTCGTCTGAAGATCACTGGACTCGTCTTTGCTAATGGGTTAAGAGGTACATTTGTGAGTCATTGTTCGCAAATGATCAGGTAGATTGAGAAGTTATTGTTCTCAATTTAGGAGGTACATTGTCAAGCCATTATTCAGAAGTCAAGAGACACATTGCGAATAACAATAGCGGATTATTCACACTTCAGGAGTTACACTGAAAAAAAAACTGAGATGAGCTGATTATTTGCAAACTAGGGGGTACATTGGAAACCGCAACAGCAGATTGTACTAGTAAGGCATAGAACTTCAGTTAATAATTGCTCACAACCTGAGTGGCACTTCCCAACTCTGGAGTAATACATTATTATAGCTAAACCCCCTATTGTTCCGAGGTTTTGCCAAGGCAAACACCCCTTCTCGACATTTGTATATGGGCGCTGGGAGATACAAGCACAGACATCCAAAGAAGAAAAAATGAGAAAGAAATTTTTTTTTTGGTAATCTTGAACAGAAACCAAAACCAAATACAAAAGCAAACAGGCACTTTCTTTCGCGGCAACTTTAACCAAATACAATTTCTTTTGCTAATTTCTTCGCTCGTGAACTTAAGATCACGGCATAAAATAACGGGATTATAGGGCATTTGTGCTTTCGCAGCACTTCAATTTCTGTTTCTAACGCACTCGGTTACTAAATTGCCCTATAATTCTAGGCTATTGCCCTAAAAACACGCTATAAAACGGTGCAAGGAGGTACTCACACCTTTTTAGGGCCTCTCCCTTGTACTTTCAAGGGGTACCTCGCTAAAGGGCCCTATAGTAACTACTTATTTAACGTCTAAGCGCTATTTACCCCTAAAGATCTTCTCATACCTTGCGAATGTCTTATAGCGCCTCTTAAGATCTGCTTAGGGCGTATGGCCTGGAGTTATATGGCCTTACAGCGGGCTCAACCCCCTAAATTGTGCCATGGGCCATGTCAAGGGTCTAAATGCCTTGTAATCCCGTCACATTATGCCGCAATCTTCGTACGCAGAAGGGATGGGAAGAAATTTCTCTCCGGCGAAACAGGACGGATTTGGCTACCCCTAGTAAGGACCACTTCCAGTTCCAAGTCTATCAACGCCTATTTCTCCTGTCATTTCCGATGGAGATGGAGAAAATGCAACAGACGAATGGGCTGGATTCAAGTGTAGACTTGCACTTATTTCTACACCTAACGACGACGACGGCGGCGGCGACGGAAGGAGACTCCCCCTGTTTAGTAGCACTTTCCGGCTCATGGCCGCTTACAAGGATGAGCAAGGATAGGAGAGCATGGAATGTAGGAGACAGGGTTGATATTTTTCTTGCTCTTGCGCTTCCGCTATCCCCGAGGGAGGTTCTAATGCCCACCTCTTGATTCGCAAATGGAGAGGCGCTGTCGTCGCACACCTCCATGATCAACAAGTAACCCTATATCGAGATTCAAGGCAACAAGTCATCATGACCGCAATCTCCAACCACACCAACTTGCAAGCCGATACGAACGAGCATTTGGACCGGGAGCTTCAGGTTGGCCCAGCCTGTCTGGAGAATCGGCTGCTACCCCAATCCAATAGGAGGAAGACTGCCAGACCTTGCAGCAGCGCCTTTATATTTTCCAATGCTGCCAGGTATATTCTCCTGAGCAATGGGATTGTTAACAGTACCAGCTTCGTATCACCCCGGCTTCGACTCATTCCACCATGGACGTCCGTCTTACAACTAAACACTGCAAAGACGGCAAACAGGTTTCAGAGCAGAAACCCCATAGACTGACGATCCCACACGCACTCTCAACGCTAGCTCTTAGATTCTGGGCCGTCATTCTCTGTGGGCCTGGATCGTCGTTTCCCACACCCTACCACCAAACCAAATCAAAATCCGAAAACCCTCACACCGATCGCGAATCGAAGTCGGAGTAGGAGAAAGACTCCCTCCTCATAGTGCGCCCCACAATCGTAAAGTGTACAAAGTTGTTTACAATCAGTATCGCTAAATAATAATACAGTCCAACGCCCAATTGACTCCGCAAACCTAACGCCATTCCTGAACCTAAGTCTCCCCAATATCCCACCAACGGAATGCAACCCGCCACCCTCCCATGAAAGACCCGAAGTGTGCAGATCGGCTACCACTTCAAAGTCCATGACAGAATGATCGAAATCATTTCGTAGGCATGGATAATGAATACTCCTGCGACGTTTCGTTGAAAGATGGTTGGGTCAAAAAGATTCTAGAATCGTCTCCGGGGCGCTCGCCAAGTCGGGGGGTCGTGGATCGCGTCAGGAACGATGGGATGGGAGCATTCGGGGGATCGGAAGAGAGGGTGCTTTGGTTCCGTGATTTGACGAGAGCACGGAGTCGATTTAGGATGGAGAACTCGAGCTTCAATTTGATGCTGTAGAGAGTACTCTTGTACGTCGTCTCAATGGAATATTGATTGGCGTATTCCGTTCCGAGGAGCGTGATATCCATCAAGATCATCAGAACATTAACCAATATCAGATGGATCATAACGCTGCGGGCTTCCTCCCGCTTGATGTTCGCTAGCGACTGGAGCATCTTCCTGGCCTCCCAGATATAAAGAGCTGAAATAATGAACTCCTGCGTTGAGAATGCCGTGATCTGGATCTTCTCGTAGACTGCGAACGGCTTAAGAAACGGCGCGGGGTTTGAGGAGTTGGAACCAAAAAGGAGAATCGTAGGAGGGATGTGGAAGAGGAAAAAGTTGATCACTATCAATCCCAAAATCCATCGGATCTTCCTCCCGTCTCGAACAATGAGGTGAAGTCGAGAGTAGAGGACGATTGATTGGCCAGTGACCATTGCGTACCAACCGATAACTATGAGCCCCACATTGACATATTCGTTGGTGCAAAGCCGGAAAAACTTCAATAAGAATCCCACTGCGTGAAAGACTATTCCCCAAGAAGCAATAAGCAAACTCCAAAAGTACACTCCCACACGCCGCTGAAAGGTGGCAAAGATCCAAAAGTTGATCTCGACAACGTTGAAGACCGCAAGAGCGAAAAATCCAGCTATCGTCATTGCAATGGGCAGCGTAACATCGATCCCCCCACTATATCCTTGGCCCGATAGACTGTTGGCCATACTGGGCCAATGGGCTTGTGAGAGACACTGGGGGAGGAGGGTCGTGATAAAGGGTGATTGTGGGTGTAGATTTGGAGAAAATAGCGCTCCACACACTCTAGCAAGTAGCCAGATGGTTGAGACCTTACTCTTGGGTGGGGAATGATATGCATTCGTAAATCCATATGGAAGTTTTGTTTTTTGCTCGACTCAAGCAAACTCGCAAGCTTACATGAATGGGCGCAAGCTGAAGCGCGGCGGACGCGTCCGCAACCAAAAGTTAAAACAAGCCACAAGCCACAGGTCAGCAGGGCGAACAGCCCTGCCGCACCCCCTCGGCCAATCGCTTCCGCACTGCCAGGACAAGGCTGTCTCTCAGCGGCGTCAGATCACCGATTGATCGTGTCCCGGCAAACGGCCGTGCCGTCTCCCCTGGGGGGCGAGGATTCCATGATCCCAAACCGATCCAACCGAAATGATTGATGTCTTGAGTGACTAAGGGATGTAGGAAAGCGGGCCGGTGATTCGCTTGGGTGATGCCATCAAACGGAGATTGTCCAGCTGGAGATGGTGTTTTCCCGCTTCCCCAGAAGCCACCCCGGCTGGCAGGTAATTCGAATGCCGTGCCGCCGTCGGAGTGATTCCGAGCTCGATTTGGAATGTGATCCGAATCCCTCGGCCCAGGTCCCGAAGTCAGCTTCAGCTTCACGCAAAACAGACCGGAGCAACCAACATTGTGCAAGGGCCCGGGGGGGGGGGAGAAGCCGTCAAAGTGCCAGAAGGGCGGCCCGGACATGACCATACTACGTACAACGGTCCACGGAGGGGATATGGAGAACTGCTTGCGATGCTCTCGGATAGGCATATCGGACGGCATATCTCCCCCAGCAGGTATCCCCCGCCCAAAGGAACGGCTCATCAAAACTCGGCAATTGCATTTGATACCGCGCCCAGTGATCGCACGTGCCCAAGGAGAGCTTCTGTGAATGGAAGGTGAGAGAGACTGGGAGTCGCAGCTCACGAGATGGGCAAATGAGGTCGAACTGTGTTTGTTGGTTGGTGTTTGAGCGTGGGTTCCTCGTCCTGTCATGCAGCGAACTGAGTCCGGGTTTCACCGTAATTGCGATGTGGAGGGTGATTATTGAAGGAGTGAAGGCGCACGGGGGAGAGATGACATCTCAGTTATGAACAATATGCGATTCAGCTATGAGGATGTCGCCGCAGATGTTTCTTCATCCCATGCTGTAAATGTAGACTTGGGTATTAACGAATCCCGAACATCGCTTACGAGCCCCGGCTCACGGGTCTGTGCGCACAGGGCATTTTCCAAGCATTTTCAGGCTTCGCGAATTTGCCTTTAGGGTACTAAATGGCAAAGTCTCTTCGTTTACTTGAAGATTATAAGACAACAACAAATAGTTATGACTTAGGATTCGGATTTTGGGAATTAAAATAAGTCAAGTAAAGTTTCATTAATTAATCCTTAGCGATTTAATTTTTTAAATATTCATTTATAACTAAAATGCCCTGTGCGCACAGACCTGTGGGCCCCGGCTCGTTAGATAAGATGCCCTACATGGCAGTCAGTGTATAGGGGCAAGATTCTGGGTTTCTTGGAATGGCCTTCGCCCGCTGGAAAGATCAAAAAACCTTGACTCTTGGTTATAATACCAGATGTATACTCAAGGTCACTCTAAACGCAAGATTTTGCTGGAAGTCGGTCAAAAAAGTTCTCCAATTCATTCGAAGTCTCGAGACGCCGTTTATTCGACGAGGCCATCCAAGTTACGCTTAGAGGATTGAAAGCCGGAAGCCCTCGATTATCCTGCAAATATTTTCAACCCAACATTGACGATGGAGAGAAATGTCTTCAGTCCCAAGGCGCAGGGGGTTCGTATTTTCAATCGTTTTATTGGCCCAATAGAAACGTATCGGTCGGCAAGGAGTTGATCGCAAACGCCAATTTAATACTCGTCAAGGATGATTGAGGGTCTGTGAGCTAGCGGGGAAGGAAGAGAAGTGCTTACTACTTACTACGTAATTTACTCTTCCCCCACTGTTACATTTAATTAGGGGGGGAGTAAGTGAGAATTCCCCCTCCCCCTTTATAAATATAACAGTGGGGCCAACCCCTGTACTGAACACTCTTAGTGGCTGTAGCCCTTGTTTGCAAGGTCGGACAGGCCAATGAAGCCCTAACTGTGGATCTAAGTCCCTTGACAATGGCCTCAAGCGAACGAATTCTTTTCAAGAAACCCCTGCTCAACTCTCTACTTTCGACCCACTGTTACCCTTATTGGGGTTGGAGGGATAGTATTACAGTCTTTCTCAACCAACGTGCGTGGTAGGACTACTGATAATTTCCTACAGTAGCACTACGGGAAGACGCAAAATGGCTCGATTGACTGTGCTGAACCTTAAACTCAATCCAATTGTTTATTTCCGGAAGGAATCTCCTAAGACCCAATCTAGGATGACCCTTTAGGTTTCCGATACCTTGGCGCTATTGTGAATCCCAGTTTGGTCATTGTTTATGTCGCATAGGTAAAGATCTGACTAATAACTGACAAGGTCGCCCTCACCGTCTTTGTTACCAAGCTTTTCAAAATCTTGCTTCGGACGATAATTTTAAGTTCGGAGTCATGTACTCCATGTCTACATCAGGTCGATGTGGAGAAAAGACCACCAGTGGGTATCAGAATTAATGGCGCACAGGCCATAAACACCAAAATTACAAAATCGCATCCCCTTCGATTTTAATACTCACTCTTAATCATTTCAATATGGCACTAACTATACGTCGCACAAGCCGTATTACACCTCCTCTAGCCTCTACTAAACACCTTAAAGCTAATACTATTAAAAAGACCCGCTTTTATTAAGCCTATAATAAAGAGATCTCATTCAAATTACTCTATATAATTACTTGTAATAAGAAGACTACTAAGAGTATAATATACTACTAGCTTAAGTAACGTAAGAATATAGGTTCCTTAGCCTATTAATAACTCGGAAGATATCTACTAAGCTTGGATAGCGGTTAAAGGTTACGAAATCTATATATAAGATACTTGTTAATCCGGCTAGAAATCCAGTCTATAATTAACTATATAATGCCCAGATTAGATTCTATAATATACTAGTCCAAAGATATTAATTACGCTGCAAATTAGTAGAGTATATAAACGGCGGTCAAATCTATAAGTATGTATTTATAAAGAAAATAATCTCGGGAAAAAATAAGGATAAGAGAGTTATATATAGCAAGAAGTATTAGGACAAGCCTATAAAAGATTTCTGGAGCTATATCTTCTTTACTAATAAAGTATATATTAATTCTTTAGTATAGCAAGCTTCAGGAATATTTAGGGAGCTTGGAAAGTAATATAATAATGAGAATATTATAGAGAGAGGAGAAAAGAAAGAAGTCAAGTTCTATATAGCAGCTTGAATTATATAGTTTAATAAAGTAAAGAAGCTTGAGTTTTATAAAAAACAAAGAAAAGTATAAAGAATAACCTCTAATACTCCTAAGATCTTATTAATACCTAATAACAAAATCTCTAGAGAAATATTAAGCTAGACTTATAGAGTAGGAAGCTCTTAAGCCTTATAAGATTAATATTAAGCTATAAGGCAATTTAATAACCCAGAAATACTATATAAAGTATCTTTTACTAATTTATATTAAGGCAATTTATAAAGTATATATATAGAATTCAGGAAACTGGCTTTTTGTGAGGTGTTTGTTGGTAGGCAATAAGACAATAGAATGAATCAGTGTGTTATGAAACCACAGTGTTAAATTCAGTACAGAACTAATCTCTGTCCCTCCTGTGAGGTCCAGGGAAGCCCCCTCTAAATAGGAGGCCCCGATGGCATACATACAATTAGTGATTTATAAGCCTAATGCATATGATGTAAACAGTGGTTGGTTGGGATATCGAAGGGCTGCCGAACTCCCTGATCGACACCCGCGATATCCGAGGTTCGTCACATGCCCTTAAGTCACGTGCGACCCTGCACACATCACACTTTTATAAGAGAACAGGAATTCTTCTTATAATATACAAAAATAAGGCTTAGTATATAAGCTCAAAGAAAAGAATTAGATTATTAATCTCAAGTACCCTATTTAGAGCCCTGATTTAAATCTAATCGAGGCTATTTGGAATATAATAAAGCAATACTTATACTATAGAATCTTCTATTTAGATAAGGAGATTAAAGAAGCTTTATAAGAGGAATAGAGTAAAATTATAATAATAAAGGTGCGAAAACGTATTAGTTAGATATCTGGGTAATGCAAGCACCTTATTAAAAATAATAGGAAGCCTATTAAGATTATATTATAGTAATAAACCTATATATTAGCTTTATAAATTAATTTCTGAGCTCCCTTAATTTTTGATAGTTGTGGCCCGTACGCCATTAATTCTGATACCCACTAGTAAACAGCCTAATAAAGTGGGGTTCTAGTTAATGGGCGAAGTGTGAGAAATAAATAGATTAGATTAGATTAATAGCTATTAATCTAATCTATTTATGAAATATTCTTATTAATTATATTCTATTCACAAATTAATTATTTTAATCTAATCAAATTTCTTAAGTATTACCTTAATCATATTCTAATCGACTTATTCATGAATATTTATAATTAATTTAATTAAGGTAATTAGTTTTTTCGCACACTAAATGGGCATGAGGTAGAGAAACAAGAGTACAGGGAGTGACTACTCAGAGATACAATTCACATATACTCCTATTATTGCGAAGTCTAGGTTTCCTCGGTTATATGTTCCAACGGGAGCTCTTATTAGTGCTCTTTAAAATGCTATCTATTCAAACCGGCTGCGGCACCGAGAAACGGAACTTGGTGCAACAATGCCTGTCATGCACGCTTCACCGCCGCCCCGTGGTCAGTTCATAGCTCTTTTGCCGAAATTTGAACATCAAGACCGCTAGCTCTTATCTAAACAAGAAATCTGAATATTCTCATTCTTACCTCTTATTCTGCTAAGATTTAGATTAGACGATATCAACTAAGCTTAATTCCGAGGTCATGGCCTGGGGAACCACCCATCAGGCAGCGCCAGCAAGGCTTTCTGCAGAGCACCCTCACCACATATCAACCTGCGAAGGATTCACAGTTCTGAGGCTACTTTCGACAACTCAGGGATCTGTTTGTAGAGGCACGTCAGAACGGAAGCAAAATCCTTCCAGGGCATTAAAACGCTCGAGCAAAGAAAGTCTACTTGCACAGCCAAGATGAACTCCTGGCAGATCCAAACGCTTTTCACTAAGTGCGGTGGCGCAGTCGGATGAACCTATCAACTCCATCCTGAAATGTGGAAAGACTGATTTCATCCAACTCAGTAAAGTACCGAGCACTATCCAGAAGATCCACTGGGGGTCCGGCTACCTCAATATGAACCTTCTATCTGCGATATTAAGATGCCTTTGTATCCTCGATCGTCCACCGCATTCCCACACCACTGCTCCTACTTTCACACTCCTCTAAGCAGGCCAACACTCTCTCAGCAGCAGCATAGATATGCCTCATCATTCCAACTTGATGAGGTCTCTTGTCGGGGTTGCTCTGATCAATGCAGAGTGCATCGTACCAGCGGAAAGAACCTAGCAAGTTGTCTACCCCGGGCAGATCCTCGGGCCCGCTAAGACCGTTCTGCCGCTCACCCGTAATAAATCTTGATTATAGTAATATGCGAAACTAGTATTTAAAGTAAATTAAAGTTAATTGTAATTAAAATTTTATTATAAAATTAAAAGATGAAGAGTAACTTTAAAGATATAAGAAATATATATAATTAAGAGAAAAGTATAGAGAATAGAAATTTTAAGCTATATTTATAAAAGAACTTACTAAACTTAAATAGCTAAGTATATAATACGAATCTTATAAAGTACCGTATCCGACTACAAGCTAATTTCCTAGCTTAAACTATTAGCTATAAGGATAGTAAATAGCTTAATATATATATTATAAAAGTAGTTAATATTAAATTTAGTTAGTATAATAAATACTATAAATACTCTATTAAAAGTATTTTTAAAGCCCTCGATTTCGCTTTACTTAATTAATAGCTTATTTACTAAACTCTTAATAAACTTCTTTATTAGTATATCTTATTAATTTATTATAAAGGTAATCTAGTATAATAAATACACGTAATAATATATAAATA